CGTAATAAATTAGCAAATGGCTTTTAAAATTTCGTGTTTCGTGAGAGAAAGCTTAGGCTATACGACCTTTGTCATCGTCGCAGAGTGATTCAAACCTTTGTGGTGCAACAACCGTGAAGCGAGCGTGAGGCAACGGAAATTGCTTCGATTTATAAAAGGGTTGACGGAAGAGCAGGCAATTTGGTAAAGATCTATTAATTAAAGCGTGGACTTCCAAACACCTGGAACTTATGTGAGATAAGAGTAATGAAATAAAAAAACGTCAACAATTTTGCTTCCGGCCGGTTTCCGTTTACGTCACGGTAATCCCTTAGATGAGTTACAGCACCTTTTGCTGTAGCACAACCTTACGTGCCATACATACAACATATTACCATGCAAACGTATTTCTACAAATTTTCTATGTATAGATATAACAAACACTACCAATAAATTTATTCAAAGACATTAATGGCTAATAACGGCGACCATGGGGTTGCGAAAGAGACCTATTAAAATTCATGTGACATACCTACTGAGTCTTCCGCTTTAATTTCAACCGACTTAAAAAGTAATTGGTTTTTAAATCCGTAAAATCGGATGTATATCTCTTCAATTTTATTACCTCAGATCCTCATCATTTATGAACCGCTTGTAAAAATTCTTATCATTTCCATTTATGACCGCAGAGTTTCTTGCCGGTTCTTCTCTTGCAGGTCTAGTTTAGTGAACCAGTGGTAGTTTTTGACGTACAATAAGAGCTTAAAATAAGCCTATGTTGAATAAAGAAATTTTGACTTTGACTTTGATTTAACTCCTATATTCATCCATATTAGTTTCATTAATATTAGAACTTGGACTCCAGAGACAAATAAGAACATTTGAGTGAGTGAAATATTTGAAGGGTTTTGTTACTAAAAATGTTGTTTAATTATCGTATGACAAAATACCTCTGCCTTACATTTTCTCCCGATAAGGAGTGATAATATTTTATTCACGATACTCTCTTTTACGATGGTAGGGCCACGCAGCAGCCTCGGTTGTTGCAGGAATGGGCAGGCTCGTCCGGGTAAGTACCACGACCTCATAGAAGACCAGCGTATGACAAATACTTTCGTGTTTCGTCTGGTGAGTGAGCTAGCCGGATTCCAATTTTCAAAAGGTTGTTAGCGCATCTGTAACCCACGGGTGAAGCAGATGTCCATAAGCGGCGGTATTCACATACCATCAGGTGAACCTTCTGCTCGTTTGGCAACTTTTCGCATAAAAAAATAAAACTCGATTGCTCATTTGCACATACAAACCAAAAACTCATCAAACTTAGGCAGTAGAGGATCATAAATTGATGATGACTAAAAGGTGATATCTAATCTTATAAACTTATGTACAAAAGTAGCAGGTAAACAAAGTATAAGCTAGAACAACTTGAGAAATCATTTTTAGTCTAAAGATAAGTTTCATATTTGATTTTCACATTGCTTCAAATGCTAAATAACAATGTAGAAGGAAGGCGTTAAGATTTTCGTCGCTGTGGCTATCAGCCGTTTAGCTCAGTGGCTAGAGCGTCAGGCCGTGAATGCCGAAGACGTGGGTTCGATTCCCACAGCGGCGACAATCTTTTCGTACTTTTTCTACATGTTTTAATTGATTTAAACTAATTTAAACACATTTAAACTAATGAAATATTTGTAACACTCGAACATAGTTACTTCTCTCCATTGAATCACGCATCACTATAAATAATTAATACGATTTTCTACACCCTTAGCCAATCTTTACTACAATCTCGAATCACTGTTTGGAGAGATGCTGACAAAAGCAGCCTTCTTGATCGGAGTTCAAAGATCAGTCATTAAAAACGCTATTCATACCTACATAGTAAACGTATAAAAGGAATATATTGTAAAGAAATTTACAATAGATTCCTTTTATACGTTTTTTTTTTACTTTGAGCTGGAACGCATAATTTAGATTAGGAAATTTTAGGTTAACCTTAGGGTGTCTTTGAGGGAGACTTCCGTCCTTTGCTACTATTGGTAACATTTAGTCTATATTCTAGGGTCACGATTCACTGAAATAAAAAACTATAAAATAGTTTGCCCAGTTTTTTTTTTATTTATAAGTTCGGTTACATAAAATTTGTCGTTTCAGTTGCGGACAGTTGCGGACCATTACTTTCACCGAATAATTATTTGATCGGATAATTATGTAATATTTTTGTTATGCACAGAATCTTGCAATAGCAGCAAGACAGTGGTCGTGTTATAAAAGGCTAAATATTATTCGAAATTAATTGGCATATTATTTACACAATTAAAGTGAAACTGAAAGTAAAATGTGAAACGCTATTATTAGTATAAATTGATCAACATATTACATCACGTTATATACGTTGAAAGTTGTCTAATTTATCGTCATTTTTTTTTTCCAAAATTGAGTTCTAATTCAAATAGGTATTTTTGTTCAACCAAATCGGAAAGTCAAACTGAAAACCGTCTTATAGTCGTAATAACTACCTAACTGCAGGAATAAAGAATCGTATCCACGTGTCACCGACCTTAAACAGCCCCAAACGTCGCCGTGCGATGGTGATGAACCAATTTGCTGTACGATGGGCACAGATTTGAAGGAATAATCTTCGCGGAATCAAAGAATCTATCAAAGCCAAAACTATGTGACCCTGAGACACAGCCCGTAACTCTAAGATCGCATATCCGACTTCCTAGCTAAAAGAACATGATTGATTGAGAGCTGAATATATGAAATGTATATATATATTCCGGTGCCCGCATTCTTGGCATTTTTAGAATCAATTTTAACACGGTCATTACAAAAGAAAACTGTAAATATGGTAGGCTCACCGTCATATCTCTCTATACATTTAAGGAATCTAAAAATGAATGCAATCATAAGAAGGCGTATGATATTTATTAATACATCATTTTCACGTAACGCCATATGACTTTAAGAATCGAAACAAGTTGGAAATAAATAATACTACAAAATATTTTCAGTCGAAAAGCAGAAGCACTATACACAATTTATTAATAAACAATACCAACTCTAGCCAAATCAAGTCTCTAAGACATACACTTGTGCTATTTTGTAAGCAATCCCATAGCCACGACCCCGACGTAAATAACTCAGAAGTCTTATATCGTGCCACGTGCAACCATTATATAAGATTAGATAGATAGTAAATAGTCTGAGTCGAGTTAAAAACGACACATCATGTAAATGAGGGAATTTTCTTAATCGACACTATTACACAACCTATGGAATTATGTGTTATGCACGACCAATACACAACACACTCTTGATACTTATGATATCCTAGTAGCAATTGCAACAATTTGTCAACATCAATGATGAATTACTAGGAATGACTCGGAAAAGGCTAGCTGTGACGGATTTATGTTACCTCTTTGTTTATGCATAAGAGAATTTGTAGCAAGCTGGGTACATTGTGGAAAATTATTATGGAAATGTCTTATTTTTACGTTTACCGATCTCCATGCAATATAATCGATAAGGCATTTTCTACTACTGCTCAAAAATGTTAAGATTGAGTGGAATTTTAATTATTAATTATTTTTAAACTTCTATTATTTTCTTAAATGCATAGCCTACGTCGCATTTCAGAAAATTATTAAAAGGAAAACTTTTGCACCCGTTTTTATTAAGACTTCTTTAATAACCATCCAATACCGATATATTTTTAAGGCTTAGATTTCCAAATTGTATTCAACAAGTACTGGCCTCATATGATGTATCGTGCAATGTGTTTAAGGACTCTGGCGTAATTAAATTAATAATCTAACCATTAGGCAATGCTATAAATGAAATTATTTCTTAAACATGTCTACTAACAGTTTCCAAACGTGTAGGGGTCAAATGTAACGTGTAGGAGTCTTTAAATGTTTTTTCTATATGTGTTTTGCTTTTATCAAAATATATAGTTTTTAGGTAAACATATTGTAATTTTTTATTTATAACTAATTTGTCAGTTAAGTAACGATAAGCTAACTTACCTATGCAAATGTGCGGGAAATCGATGAATGCAGGTTTCTCAGGTTTCGTACTACGTGGCAGTCTTTGGGGGAGGCCTATGTTCAGCAGTGGACTCAAACAGGCTGAAATGATGAACTTACTTAACTTCTGTCAAGAGATATTTTACTATGTTACTTGTGCAGATTATTATAATTTATTTTTATTATAATTTCCACATGCTCCTCTAGCCTTTATCATAAGAAATTACTTAATGAATAATTCTAGAGTTTTCTACTGATATGAAGTGAAGATAGTCGAACGGTTAAGATTACTCGGTGTGATAATCTAGGTGGTGCTGCAACCTCGTTCGCATGGAATTTGAAATACTATAAATCATTGAATTAAAGAATAATTCAAAGTAATGCCATCACTTATCTTTGCATTAGCTAAAAGTAATAAAATGTTCGTATCGAATATCATAAAAAATTTAATAAATTTCTTAACACAATGTCAAAAGGTGTTAATGGCCTAAAACGTAAGTTAGATATCACTGGAAAGTATTTACTGTCATTTGTTAATGTCGGGCCTACGATTTAAATTCGCAAGCTTAAATTTCAATGGCGTCCTCCATAGAGTTTTTGTTTTTACGGATTATCTATTACATGAAGCAAAAACTTTGTAGGTACCTCTTTTTAAGAAAATTGTGCGGACAGAGGAGTATGAAAGTTCCCTCACTTATCTTTTATATAGAAAAAGAGTGCAGAATGCTATTTTTTTAATTATGCATAAAAATACAATAAATCAATAAACGTTACACACACTATGACGTACAATTAATAATGGTCTAATATCGAACACGGGGCGACCACTATTATATGATAATCGGCCTTAATTTAAAGATAAGTTTGGGTATTAGTTCCAAACTTCTTCTAACTCTACTCACTTAGTGATAAAGAATGTTAATCTGGTCATGGTTTTAAAATAATAAATAGAAATTAGTCCACTTCATTATTTTGTAATCCAAATTGCAGAGCAATGAAGCTGAAGACCGACCTTTTAGTCCAGCCTACGGGAGAAATTTCAAAGAAGATTAGAGAAGAACTGAAGGAAGACCTTAGCACTCGGTATCGAGATCTGGCAGCCATCAAGGAATGGCTCCGAAAGCAACCACATCTACCCGATGAATGGGGTAAGAATCGAATGAGAATAGATTTCAGTATTAAATTTCCGACTGCACGTCTATAGTCAGATGTCGCAAACAATTTGTTTAATACTTATGTTGTCTTTTTCGTATCTTTTTTTTTATTTTCATTTTAACGTTTTCGTAGCAATTTGAACTTGCATTATGTTATATATTATACTCCTAATATAGACTATTTATTTAATGCACTCTTGTAAGCAATGATTTATTTTATTACACTTTTAACAGAGGACATGCCACTGATGACTTTCCTCCGAGGCAGCAGTTTCTCGCTGGAGAAGTGCAAGAGGAAACTGGACATGTACTTCACCATGCGTTCTGCATGTCCGGAGTTCTTCTCCAATCGCGACGCATCCAGCCCAGAGCTCAAAGAGATCTTGAAAGGAAAACTGTAAGTACCTATTTAAACAGACTAGTGGACGCCGAGTGGACGAAATTGGATCGAGTTTGAAATTATCTTAAATATATATTTGAATAATCTTATCTTAAATACAATACACAATAAACAAAAGAGTATATATGCGTGTGCTTGTCAAATACATGGTAGTGTGTATAATGTTTTCTATATTAATGTATTTTTACATATAATTTAAAAAAAATATTAGCATTCCACGCTTCTTATCTGTATAAACCACAAGTGTGGGAAATTTCATACTGCTCCGTCCGTGCAATTTTCGTAAAAAGGGGTACAAAGTTTTTTCTTCACGTATTAATGTATAGATAAAAATGCATCTTTAAATGTGTTATTTACCGAGATCCATGCACGTTTTAAATCGCAACATTAACACAAATAAAGCATCGAATTAAGTGTACCTTTATGGTGCATCGCTTGAAAGTCCCTGTGTGGCAATCCCCATCGTAGTCAGACAAGCGAATTTAGCAATACACTAGTTGACATTAAGGTCGCATTTCCTAACAGAGGTGTAGTGAAGAAGGCCGACCTTGGCGACCTCAAGGTCAATATGTCGTGATCAACGTTGGACGACACAGCAATAACTGATTGTGTAAACAATCATTAAACGTGCTTCAAGATTTTCGCAAACTATTCAACTGTTTAAACATAGTAAATGTTTGCATTGATCTATTTCAACAAGATGTTATTGCTGACTTATTTGCCAACTGACGTATGTGGTAATACAACACAAATCTGTGGTGAGAGGTAAATCACATGATGTTGTTTATTTATCGCTGTAATCCAGACCTTGGCTTCACCAGAAGGGGTATTATAAATTGGCTTCATTCATTGATAGACTTTTTTTTCTAAAATGTAAGACTCATAGTTAAAAATGTATGCTCTTACATTAGGATAAAATTGTGAACATAGTAACGCATTACTTTTGATAAACTTGTTAATGCTTGATTAATATCCCACTTAATGGAATGTGACAAATCATACTTAGATAGCAAACGCATTATGTCAGTAAAAGCCTATTCATTCTTGCCTTGAACAAAACTACTCGAACTGAACGTGGTATCGTGAAGAATGTAAGTTTTTAATTCGTTTCACCAATAGGTTATTACCGAAGAAGTATCAATAGGATCTAGCCTAGCTTATTTTTAATCTATTTGATTCGTCAACAGAACTAGCAGTTTTTTCATGATCATTTATTTTCCTTCCAGGCAAGGTCCACCTCTCCCAGGTGTAACTCCGAATGGTAGAAGAGTCACAATTTGCAGAGGTTAGATTTTCATCTAGTTCCGCTTTAACGGATGGCTTACATCATCAGTTTACACAAATGTGTAAACGTCAGATATTGAATCATTCTAAGGACTCCGTGGCGCAATTGCCAAAGTATTGGCTTCGGCGTCGGTGGTCGTGGGTTCGATCCCTACACGGGACAGCTATTTATGTGACCCACAGATAATTGTTTCGCATCCAGGTGTTTGTCCACTTCCTTACAACACAGGATAATATTATCCTAAAGTAAGGGAAAAGATTTTAAAAAGAAAAATAATCGCAGAATGTGAAGACACATTTATGGCGTTATAAGTAAACATTTTAACGTACACCAGTTTCGGTGTTGACATTCTTTTCGAAATAAGACCAAAAGTCTAACCGGATAATGGTCAGTATTTAATCCGTTTTTCGTATTCTTAATGTGAAAAAATAGCAAGCGAGCAGTCGGTTCACCTGACGTTAAGTGATTCCAAACGATCATGGACATCTACAACACCAAAAGAGTTGCTGCTGAAGAGTAGCTGCTGGATGCTTTGCCTAGCTTAAGAAAAATTTCCCGAGTTACCCCAATCACTAGTAGAAATGCGAAAGTTTAATACTTCCACGTCATGCTGGTCTTCTGTAAGGCGGTGGTACTTCCCCAAAGAACACTATTCCATTCATTTCCTGCAACAGTAGAAGCTCCTGCTGTTCCCATTCACATTAAAAATGCTCCCAATTCTGCTCTGAGAAACGAAGAAAATAATAACGCACGCTTTTAAAAAGTTGAATTATTGAGATTAAACACAATAATTCAACTTTTTTTACTTAAGAGTCACGCAGTACACAGACAAATTATTCTACTGCATAGAAGGACTTTTTAATTTCAAATCAAAATGACATTACGTTTTCCCATTATACAAAATAAATAAGCCATTATTTAAAAATACATTTGAGTTATATTCTAAATCCTTGTCGTCTGTTTTGATTAGCGTTTGCAAGCAGTTCACGTGCTTATTAGCATGAATAAGTGATTCAACGCATAAGATATTTCCTCGTGTGTGAAGATGATACGAGCGAAGCAGAATTGTTAAAGTTTATAATATACTGTTGATAAATATATCCCTACGGTTTGATCCCATTACTAGGTATGTAATATTACCTAACTTGCTAACCTTTCGATAAATGGTACAGATACAATAATTTTTAACAATATAGATGACGCATATCCATACGCATACATAGCGCGAAGTTTAAAAATTGTTTCACTTGACATTGTATGGACTTATATACTTGAATGTGACAGATTATAATAGGACGTATGATACGGAAAGAGACAGCAGTATATATAATTGCAATCTAATTGCACCTACTGGTGTAATTTGAGTGCCTCAGTTTCGTTGCGCTAGTGTCATATCTACCTCGTATTTGTTTGTGAAATCAATGTACAGACAGACCGAGACAGACATTCGAACTTGTCGCTATTAAATAAAAATTGACTACGGATGCTGCAGTGCATTCGAGAAATCGGGAATTAAACAAGTCAAGTTATTAACAACAGTCTTAAAACCAAATGCATTGCTCCTCTAGCGTTTTATTACTTGCCAGACGTTTCGTCGTTCTAAGTAAAAAGTTTATATTAAACTAGCTTCTCGCTTGTAGCTTCGCTCGCTTTGAAGCCATTAAATAAATATCTTTCTTTAAATGAATATCCAATTAAAAATAATCTTTATGTCTTTTCTCAGGCTCTACAATATCTGTGTACGAAATTTAATTTAAATCGGTTAAGTAGTTTTGGCGTGAAAGCGAGACAGACAGACAGAGTTACTTTCGCATTTATAATATTAGTATGGATTAATCTGTTAAGTGTAAAAATGTTTATAGGTAGCTGGCAGCTGCCGCTTCCTATAATACATATGCTACGATCTCCCTTTTATATTTAATTATTAAATTTAACTAGACATATGGACTTTATTAGCATGAAGGTGAAAAATGGTTGAGTAAAATGTATAATCGTGCCATCAAGTCAAGTCATACATAGCCCACGGCTAACATTGAACGTTACTTTTCATTAGGCAATAAAAATTGTAGTGTAAGAACTACAGACGCTCAATGCAAAAAATTATAACACAAAATAATCCGTACGAGATATTTAATGTAATATTTTTTGTATAATGCAATAAAAAAAATCTGAAATAGTAATTTTTGTAGTAACTTACACTGACAAATAAGGTTCTTTCAAATTTTCTGCAAAAGTATTCATCAAAAGGGAGCATTCTGGTCTTGTAATTTGTCTACCGCATATTCGGCTCTCACGCATCAATAAAGCTGAAAGCGAATAAAAGCACAGTACATTGAAATAATGAAACCTACACTAAATACTTTTGTAAATTTAAATCATTCAGGTATTCACCCGAGTGTGGATGGGCAGCAAATCACCGACACCTTAAAGCTAGCGCTGATGGTTGGTGACGTACGTCTCATAGAGGAAGTGGAGGGAGTCGCTGGCGACATCTATGTGCTGGACGCAGCTGTGCTCGGGCCTAGCCTCCTTGCCCGTCTTTCTCCCACCGTGATCAAGAAATTCATGATCTGCGTTCAGGTAAGTCTTCATAAGTCTAATAGGTAACTGCAGAATATAATCCAAATTTCTCTAGTTTACTTCTAATTCCTTTGTTTTCCTCAAAATAATAATACTGGTTTCAAATTTCGCAACAAAATTGTAGGATACTAATTTCGTTCTTATGATTTTGGCTGTAGTCTGTTTTCATCTCTCTCTTTCATTCTCCAATGCGACTCTTAAAAATGTATTCAATTTCAAATATAAAACAGATTGTTAAATATCAAGATAAGTAAGAATAGAAGTAGTAGAAGAACCTCTATTCTAATCTCTTCGGATTCTGACAATATACAATTGTACATCTTAACCCTTAGTACCTTTTAGCAGAGACTACCTTATTTAGTTCAATCCAATTTGTCACTTTCATTGGCCATATTAAGTTCCCAATTATGAATAAGCGTATTGTGCTTCATCAGGCGGTAAAATTAAGAAATAAAGTAAAATGAGAAAATAACGAAACTATATATAATAATGAATAACTTTCCTACTTCACAGGAGGCATATCCAGTAAAATTGAAGGAGATACACATTATAAATACGTCGCCTATAGTTGAAAGGTTCATCACCTTTGTGAAACCTTTCTTGAAGGATAAGATAAGAAAGAGGGTACGTTCATTATTTACTTATTAAAACAAGAGAAAGGTTCTCTGAAAGTGGATATCATTTTTATTACAGTAACAATATTCAATAGCCTAATTTGATAAATTAATATTCATTTCAGATCTTCATTCATAGAGAGCTAAAGGATTTGTACAAGTACATTCCTCAGGAAATGTTGCCGGAGGAATATGGTGGCCAGTGTGGCACAATGGAAGAACTCCAAGGTATCTTTTGGTTAAAAAGTAACGTAGCGGCCCACTGCTGGACAATTACACAACATAATTTTTTAACTAATTTAGTCCAATATCGCTTTAGAAAAACTATTTAAGTTTATAAAGCATAGCAGGTTTTTTCGTAAATGTTTCAATATAGGTAGAAATACTTCTGTACATAAAAAGCATAACAATGATCGTTCTAAGACACTATAAAAAACAAGTTATGTTTCTTAGGATAAACAGACTGTTGAAAATAAAAATAAATTCTACAAGTTTCTCACGACGTTAATTTCTTATTTCTCAGACCAATGGACCCAGAAGCTGATCGAATACCGCGATTGGTTTAAATCACAAGATGCTTTGAAAGCAAATGAAAACCTGAGACCTGGAAAGCCGACCAACTACGACGAACTGTTCGGTATCGACGGCTCGTTTAGACAACTGGCCATTGATTAGCTGGCGTTTGGCAAAATCATTTGACATACTTTTTTGGCGGATTTTTAATTTGTTTGTTTTACCTAGTGTCATGAATATGCAGATATTGTCAAGTTTTTTGTGGAATGTTATTTTTATTTCTATTTTCGTTTTTATTCATAAGGATTATCTATAATACCTGAATGGTTTGAAACTATTGAGGCTTAATTTTCTTATTTTCTAAATGCATTGTATTGCGCATTTGGTTTGCAATGTTTTTATATCAATATTGCACTCGTGTTAGGATTGTGATATTTTTTTTATAATCGAGGCATATAAAATAGATTAAATAACAATTACGAAATACAAAGATGTAACAATGCTAAATATAAAGGCAGAACTTCTATATTGTAATATTGTCGTATTTATTTAGAAACTAAATTTACAAGCACCAACTATTTATTGTAGTTGATACTTATAAATTTAGTTTTAAAACTAAGTATATAATTTACTCCGAAATCCAGTTTACCCTCAACAACTATTTCAGAAAAACAGTATAAAACACAAGCATTACAAAAGAGAGGAATTATTTGTAATAAATATTAAGTTTAAATAACTCTTAGAAAAATGTTTTATTACAAATGAGGATTCAACAAACTAGAGTGATAAGAAGTGATAGGTTAATTTAATATAAGATTTTATTCTATCATATATTGTTGACTATATGCATATTAGGCTTACATTCTACCTCTTACCATAATCCCGTTATTAAAATGTTAGGTATTATTAAAATGTTTTCTCAGCCGGACATATCATATGTTTAACTTTTGAATATGTTTTAATTGGTCCAATTGCTTAACTAAGCATTGCAAAATTGTTATGGTGACTTTCTTTGTTAGCTTATCCATTAACTTTACCATTTAGCCAGTCTTTTAATCATTGAAACATTAAGCGAATTTCCCTAAACTGAGAATGAAGAATTTGAGTATTACTTTTAGAGTAGAAGAAGATTGTATTTCGATTTATTTAGTATTTAATTTGTAGTGTTTAAAATTCTCGAATAAACAAAATGGTGATAGTAATGAATACATATTGTTTTCATTTTGAACGCATTACTTTTATTGTGCTAACGAAACGTGGCAACAGCTTTTACTGTTGCAAAAATAATACGCACCTACCGCTTGTCCGGCAGAGTATCAAAACTTGATAGAAGATCGATTTTATCTAGTTCATAAGTGGGGTAACGGAGTCCCATGTATATGTGTAAGATATTTATTGCTATTATTAGAGACATGTTATAAAACATAGCTTTTACCGATTTATACAACTATAACTCAATGACTCAATAATCGGATAACAATAGCACTTAGTTTTTCCAACAGAACAACAGCCTTAACTACCAATAACCAAAAACAAACTCGCGTACGTTGTGAGAGTTGTAGTTATACCCCTCAAAAACCATTACCAACCACCCCCCCATTCTAAGGTGTAGGAAATATCACGACGCAATAGGTATCCACCAACTTTTAAATAAGAAAAACCAACAACTTTTAAATAAGTCGCAACAAACTGTACTAATAAATTATTGATAAAATATTAGATTAAATATGTGCCATAATTATAACACTATATAATAAATATACTAAAACTACGTTGTCGAGTAACGGAACAAGCTAGTTTGCATATTGTGTTAAGTGAATTTCCGAATTGTGTCCATTAAAAATTCAGTCCAATTAAACCCTAAGAATCTCCTAAAAGGAATTATTTGTGTTATCACCACTTTTGGAGAGTATTCTCCTTGTTACCTCAGACTGACTTACCGATTGGAATTCGCGGTTAGCAAATTGAGCGACAATGAATTTCGTAGGCACTGAATAGAAGGCTAAGTTGGTTTCTAAAAAGCTGGATGGTCTTAATAGATTGTGACAGGTTTTCTTGCTGGCGGCCGTCCGCAACAAACACTAGTACATATAGTAACGATCTGAGCCCTCCATCTGATCGTGTTCAACGTGGTACTGTTCGAATCATGATGATGAAATCGGAGAGAAATCAGTTCTTCGTGAATCATGAGGAACTAATACTCTCAGATTTCATAAATCCTTTGTTCTATGGCAAATTTTTCGTTATATGTCGTATTCAGCATTGAAATTAATGCCCTGAGTTTCACTACTATACAATGTGATAATCAGTAAATACCATAGATGTCATCTAAATAGTTGACAAACGCCGTGAACCGAGATGGAAACTATCAAAAACCGGCACTTAATAGGTTAGCTGCTGGCTCATTTTCTACATACTCTGATAAACATGATTTAGCAAAGTACAAGTATCAGTACATTTAACATTAAATCATTTTTAAAATAAGAACGATCAGAAAAACATGCACTTTTTATTAAGTTAGTTAGCTAAACTTATAACATTAACAACGTCGAAAAATAAAAACAAAATCAGATAGAAAGAAACATTAATTTAAATTTTATTTTACCTGAAGTTTATTATATTTTCACGGTTTATTAAATGGATAGTAGGGATGGTTTTTCCATTTCACAATGTCTACAACTCTCACATTCTTATTAAACTTGTTAATTGTCGCAATTTCCTCTTCTGTTAAGCTAAAGTCGAATATGTCTATGTTCTTTTTTATTCTTTCTTTATTAACAGACTTCGGTATAGGAATGGTATCTCGGTCAATCTGAAACATATAATTTTCAATAACATCATTTTAACGACAAGTGTCTAAATTAAACTTGACTTTACTGAGGAGCATATATATCAGTAAAATAATGTTATGATGTCAATTCATTTAAAATCGTAATACAGGTTATTTTTTTAATTTTCAGAAAAAATGTTTTATTTATGAAAACAACGCCAATAAGAGACATCAATACATATGTTGAAAAATTGTTATAGACAATTTTATAGTGCTAAACTCTATAGTACTTAAGATGAATTGTTTTTCAAGGATATAAATATTGATGGACCAAGCATTGCTTAAAATGCGAAAAAACAATGTCGATAAAGGACGATTTTTGTCAGTGTGGCAATCAGCCGTTTAGCTTAGTGGCTAAAGCGTCTAAGCCTGTATCCAGATGACTTCTGGGTTCTGGATTCTATTCCTGCAGAGACAAGGGAGTTCGTTCTTATTTCTGAAAATTTTAAAATTGTTTTTTCCGTAGTGGCATTGCACACTCACCAAATAACGAAGTACGATTTGGCTGGTGCTTTTTCCATATTTGTGCGCCATTTTCGTCAACTCCGGATCGTCGAACTTAGGCGGGGGAGAATTCTCTCTATTTCTGGACACCATGAAGCCGAATGGACTGTAAGACATAACCTCGATGCCGACACTTTGGCAGTAGGAGATGAGCGCCTCTTGGGTCAATGTTGGATTTACCTGTTAATCACATGAACTGTCAAATTATAGTATATACATATACTAAACATCAAGACACTGTTTTAAAGATCGCTTGGATATTCTGTTAAAATAACGCATGCAGGAACCTGATGAATTTAAAATCTCACTGTAAAATTAGTAATTCATAAATCGTTACCTCAATTTCATTTACAGCTGGTTTTATTTCACAATTGTTTATAATTCTGTTGATTTGTTCGCTATTAAAATTTGAAACTCCTATAGACTTTGTCAGCCCAAGTTTCTTCGCATCCTCCATACCACGCCAGGTATCTAAATAGTCAATGTCTTCAAAAGTACCGTTAGCTGCCTGAAAAACAAGAATATGATGTCAAAAAGTTTATTTGTAAGACGCAGTCCCAAAACAAATCAAAATTAAAACAGATATTGCCAGAAGTCTATCTCCGCCAGTTCCCAATACCTATTCGCGTTTCAAGTAAACGTTATTAGAGATCAACTTAATTGATGATTCATTATTTCAAACACCCTAATGGATCTTGGATCAAAACTAAAAGTCACCAGACGAAATGTTAAAACATAAAAATTTCCAATTTATTTCCGTATTCTTTCAGACAGCTTCCAGAGCCGAACTGTCCAAGCAGCAGCGAATGGTTGTGTAAGATCGTGCAACAAAAATAGAATGATCGAATAAGTTTACACAAGTTTCTTTTTACCTGAGCAACAGGACTGTGTATAAGATACAAATCCACGTAATCCAAACCCAGTCGCCTTAAGGAATCTCTCAGCGCCGGAATCACTTGATCTCGGGCGTGATGATTGTTCCATAGCTAAAAGTAAAGGGTATATTTTGGGTAAACAATTCGTGCTAAAAATACTTTTTTTAATTAGTGAGTAATGGATTTTGACAGAGTTTATTTTATTGTTACCCACTTTATGAGCACCCATTACGGGATAAATAATGTGATGTCGTCAGATTTGGATTCGGTGTGGTCGTAGTTTAGAGTGAGTTTCAGCACCAAACTCGTAACCCCTCATCCTAAACGCCTCGCGCAAAATTGGACGGAACATTCGAATCGAACCCTATAGCGTCCTAATTTTGCTTTTTACGCTCGCTACTTGATCATAATGCAGTATCAAGTATCAGTAAATTTTTTCTTTGTTTGTTTGTTTTTTTAAAAAACATTGCCATTACCTTAGTATAATATTAGCCTGTGTTGTAATGACGTTTTACAAACCTAAATTTCACCCAGAAAAACACCCAGATGCGAAACAACTATCTGTGGGTCACACAAATAGTTGTCCCGTGTGGGAATCGAACCCACGACCCCTGACGCCGAAGCCAATACCTTGGCAAATGCGCCATGGAGTCATCAAATGGTCATTTACTATGCGGGATCTGCACTCACATACCGCATGATCAAATTATGCAGCAGGTAAACTAATACCGAGACATTTTACCTTTATAGTTCTATTGATAAAGGTAGTTTTGAATTGGATTTTTAATTTGAAACAAAAGGTGTCAGTAGAAATAATAGATATGGCTACTTTCTTGTAATACCTTTGTAGTGATAAACAATTCTTCTCTCCTCACGAGGCCCTTTTGTAATGCATCAGCTATCCCCTGTCCAACTTGCTCTTCATTTCTATACAACTCAGCTGTATCAATATGCCTATAACCAGCTTCAATCGCCCAAAAGACCGCTTGTCTCATAACAGCGATGTCATCCGCCTGAAACAATTCATAGATCTTTGTGTTATAATTGCGAATTGATTCCCTTTTAAATTTTGAAAGAAATTCAGAATGTATAAAATAAAGATAAAAATATACAATGAAGATTCATGATCGTAGAATAAAACTATCTGCGTTAAACGCATGTGTTAACGCATAAGTTAAACGCGTTTGTAAAACGCAGCTTTTTATTTTGTTTTTAGAATGATTCTGTAAAATCTATTTGATTTGTATCTTAATTGTTAGGTTAACATGTGCTTGTTGCACGAATTGGCATATTCATCCGGGGTGAAGCATAGAAAGCCGACGGAAAGTAAATAAAGCAAAAAAATACATAAAAGTACTTTTGTGCTTCCTCTGGTAAGTGTGGTAAAGGGCTCACTCTGTTAAAAAAGAAAAGTAAAGTAACAGCCTATACATGTCCCTATACTGCTGGGCAAAGGCCTCCTCTATACAGAGGGTATCAGGGCATAGTCCACCACGTGGCCCCACTGCGGATTGGCGGACTTCACAGATCTTCGAAATATATTTTTTTTGTTATTATTTCGAAAATATGCAGGTTTCCTCACGATGTTTTCCTTCACCGCGGAGCACGTGATAAGTCAGCACTTAAAGTTAAAAACTTCATTGGTGCCGGCACCGGGGATCGAACTCAGGTTGCTCGAGTATATTGAATTAAAGGCGAGCGCCCGGACACTGAGCTATCACGGCTCTAGTGGTCAGTATCCCCGCCTGTCACTCTGTTAATCAGCTATTAAAGGAGTGAGCCGCGAGCAAAGCATCTGCAACCCTACAGGTGTTGTAAAGGTCCGGCAGTTTTAACTTAACATCATTTGAACCACCTTGCCACCTTCTTACATAAAAAGTATAATGATATTACAAATAATAAAATAATTAATCAAAAGTGTGATTATTCAATATAAACAATACAATTCAATTGATGAAAGTCCAATGACTTGTATAAATTAGATTGTGTTTTGTTTTCGTAGCAATACTGATAATAATTAATACATAAAGAACAATATGATACACTTATTAAATAAACTTATAAATAAACAATGATAAGAAAGAAAGCCATTGCTCTTACTTTGAAAGATATATGACTTCAAATAGAATTTATACAAAGGAATAGGCATTTAGGAGCCAAGGCGCTGTCAAGGCGAACAAGCTAGGCCAATAATAAAAAATAAAAAAATGGATGCAGTGATGACGTTAACATCGATAGTATTAGCATTAAGATCAGCCTATAAATTTCCCATTGCTGGTTAAAGATCTCCTCTACAGAGGATATCAGGGCATAGTTCATCACGCGACCCCACTGCGGATTGGCGAACTTCACATATCTTTGAAATATTTATTATATATTATTATTTCGAATATATGCAGGTTTCCTCTCAATTTTTTTTTTCACCGCTGACCAAGTAATAAGACAGCAATTAAAATAAACAATTTGAATGGTGCAGGCATCGAACTCAGTGCGGGGATTGAACTCAGGTTGCTCGAGTGTATTTAATTGATAGCGAGCGCCCGGACAATGCGCTATAGGGGCTCTTATATATAATACATATCTTTAAACGACTCTCCTATAATCTCCTTAAAGTATAATTAGGAGCTATCAACTATAGACATGACTGATAATTATATTTTTGATTAAATACATTATATTTTTGATTAAATATATATATTTCCTACCGAACCATAAGTTCCCAAAGCGATGACTGGTATTCTGTTCCCATCATTGAGCAATTTGACGGGAGCCTGTGCTGCCCATATCCCTTGCTGAAATAAATAACATTAAAATTACATTTACAAACATTGCTATAGGAGTTTTCAGGTTACGAATATTGGAATATATTTATTTAAATATTTTTCATTTATAATAATCCTACAGTGTATTAATTACTTTCAGACTTCGAGGGTTTTCACTGTCATCGTTTATTAGGGTTCATTGCACTACATAATTAAAGGATTAAATGTTATTGAAAGCTTAAAACACTAACATTAAAAATATGTTGCAGATAAAGCCGTTCATTGGGTTATCGTCAATGATATTATAATTCAAATTAGTATAAAATATCATCGCTTATCGTATATTTTTCCACATTCCCCAGAGATGACCTTAAAATGAAATATTTGTTTATTACCCAATAACAATAGTGCAAATAATATACCTAAGTACACAAAAATTGTATTCATTTAAGCACTCACAATAATATTAACTCGTATGTAATATTTTTTTAGTAAATGTATCAAAAACTTACGTAGCAAATGGTCAGTAACAAAAGCACGCCAAACGTTGCACGCGCCATCTTTCGAGGTCCGACGTTCAACTCACACTGACTGTGACAGACCGAACGTGTGTTAAACATAAATGAATTAGTTTATAAAAAAATATAAACAACCACGGCCTCATTTACAGCAGCCGATGTGAGAACGACCTTTTTTTTAAATAAGCTAATGCATATCAAGTTTACTTACCATAATCCGTGGCCATGTAAATAACGACGCCTAAAAGTATCATCACGATACGGGAAAAACAATGCAGCAACGACATTCAATTATACCAGCTATTATGTGAGTCAGTAATTGCAATCAAAAGGTAAATGTACGCCTTTTTGACTACGCAAGTAGCTTTTTGGTTGTTGGTGTTAAATAAAATACTTTTTTGTTCTCTATTATGTACTTCTGTTTTTCAACAGTTGCGAAACATTTCGAAGCATAAATACATAAACACGTTCTAATGATTTTCGTTTTATAGTTGATCAGTAATGAATAAAACGGTTAATGAATATTTAAAAAGGAGTACCTGATAATGTTAAATAATCAGTTATCCAATAATACTTCTCTAGTATTCGTGAACAATTTTTCCAAAAAAATTAAAATAAGAAACGTGTGTGTTCACGCGTACGAAGTTATACTTCTTTGGCGTAAAAAAATAAAACTAAACATGAAATTAAAACTATGAAGTCAATCGGCCACATGAAATTAACTTGATGATGACAAACTCTTCATATTTCACGTTAATTACGGCAGATTTATGAACTGGTGTCATCTCATGTCGCAGATTAACTTCATTGTGTTAATTTCATGTCGCTAAGCACGTGGGCCCAAAAGCTCACTCTTATCATTTATTCCCAAACGAGCCAAAAGAAGTATAAGTTCAAAACCATTTAGTTAATACATAGGGATACCAGTATTTCGTAGAAAGTTGAATATGCCTGTGTCCTTCATCCAATAGAAAGAAGAATAAACACTGTTGGTGTCTTCAAGGCAAGGTAAGAGTTACCATATCAATCAAATCTTGCAATCATGCAAGATAGTGGACAAGCAGTGATCATAAAAAAATATTGCAAAGCTTTTGCTTGCATTTCATGCCACAAAATCTTTTACTATAAAAGGCACAATACATAATTGATGCAGTTGTATCTTGCCAAACGTGTTTCTAACCTATGCTTTATTTATATGTGCATATATTTATTGAATTCTCTATTTGTATGTTTGTTTGTCTGTGGATCGTTAGAAAAACTTGATGTGTCTAGCGGTCAACGTTGAAAGACATTAATTTTTTTAACAACTGTTTTGAAGAACTACTTCGTAATTATTGTTTTTCTGGAAAAACTAGGTACCTATGATTCATATGTGTGGATGTTTGAGGTTTATTATTTCAAGGCCGATATTTAGTCTGTGAAAAAACGCATTTTTTTATTTTTAGGTCCATTTCTGAATACTTTATATACATATTTAATACTTCGCAATCCGATTTAAAGGTCATTTTAAATTTTTTCAAACATTTTTTTTACTTACACTATTATTTCATTTATGCTTTATAAAATTATGCTGCTGTTAAAGTAATAATTTTTGTTTCGCTATCACTTGTGTCTATACGTGCCGCTTAAACCTGTTCTTAGCTTGACTTGCCTAGGCATGGGAAAAAACATCAGTACGTTGACCTCTGCTCCGGAAAAATCCTTAATGAGGTTTGATTATCAAGCGTAGGTAGCTTTTATTCATTAATTAATCGTCGTAAGTCGTTGAAAAACTTTTCCCGATATAAAAGAGTGTAAAAAAATAATCCTATATTTGTAAATGAAAAATTGTTTCATCATATTTACAGTATTATGCAATCTGTTTATCATACTGTTTTTTCTCTTCGTTTTCGATTTATGAGGGAAAATGAGTGCCGTGGAGTGTTGTCCAACAAAATGTTCTAATATTCATAACGTCGATTCCATTCAACTAACAAACAAAAAAACTTGCCTACCAAAACTGCATCTTACTAAATGTCTTCATTAAGCATAATCCAAGCTATTATTTATTCGCCGATGATTTGAAGTTTTTTTAACAATCGTTGATACCTTCTCAGATTCAGGTTTGTTACAAGAATACCTAATCCGTCTCGAGGCTTGATGTGTCAAAAACCAGATGGACATAAACATCTCTAAGTGCTTTGTTATGCACTTTTAGAATAGAAAAATGTCTAATTTGAATTGCAAATACTTTGTCAAAAACCGGGAGCTGTCAAGGGTCGATCACATAAGCGACTTGGGACTGTTCTCTCCCTCCACATAGACAACATTTGTACCAAAGGTTTTAGAAGCCTTGGTTTCGTTCTACGAAACACCAAAGATTTCAAAAGCCCCAAGATCTTGTTGTACAATGTTCTCGTACACAGTGGCTTAGAATAGTTGCGTCGTTTGGAATCCTAAATATAATGTTAAGGTGAAAAGTCTGGAAAGCGTTCAAAAGAGGTTTCTGTAGCACCTAACTCACTCTTGTAATTTGGGGGATTTAGAGGATTACAGAAGCGTCGACGACATTTTGAAAATTGGGCTCCGGCTACCTCACTCACCAGACGAAACGCGAAAGTACTTGTCATACTTCCACTTTAGGCTGGTCTTCTGTGAGGTTGTGGTACTTACCCGGACGGGCCTGCCCATTCGTACAACTGAACCGAGGCTGCTGCGTGGCCCTACCATCCCTTGTAGAAATCATACCTAAATGTATTCCATTTTTTTTACTGTTTTTTACTGTTATTTCCTTTTTCAATTTTTTTTATTTTTATTAACTTTTGTTGTAGTTTTGGATTTTGTAACTTTTTAAAAAACAAAAACTTTTTAACTGTATTTTTTCGCCCATTATATTGCTACAGGCTGTCAGCGCCTTTAATTGTGATGACACTACCGAACAGTTGATGTATACTTAATTTCTTTAGTCTTAAATACTAACATACATTATGTTGGCATTCTTTAATTAAATGAAAAAACAAATCATTTCCATTAGTTCATCTTCCAGTTCTTGATTCTCTCTATAAAATATTGCACTATGGCTTCAGTTGTAGTTCAGTATGACGCAAAAATTATTTTTAAGCGTGTTTTTCTCACTAGAACCATCTAAATTCTATATCAACCTATCATTACCTTTAATTATGTGATGGCAAAATTACCCAACCCTCACTCGGAAATGAAGGTATCGGGGAAAGTCTGTAGTCTTTTCAAAGGTACCGAAGGAGGCCACTCCCCTAGTGGGTATTCCTGTGAGTATCCTCCCACCATGAGATAGTGTATCTTTTCTTTTATATGAAAAGGTGGCAAGCGAGCATGGCGGTTCACCTGATGTTAAGTGATAACCACCACCCATGGACATTTGCAACACCCGTGGGGTTGCAGATGCGTTGCGTTTTAAAGTGGGCCCCGGCTTCTTCAATCACCAGACGAAACGGAGAAGTATGCCGGTCTTCTGTGAGGTCGTGGTACTTCACCGGATGGACCTGCCCATTCATGCAACAACCCTACCACAGTTAACCTTTCTTTTCAGAACTTTTCTTCTTTTCAGAAACAAAAAAATCAATTGATGTCTTCGTAGTTCTTCTGAATTACATTCCCAGGCTAAAAAATATTAGTCAAATAGATGTAATTAAATTTTAAACCTTTTTTACTTACGTCTTTCAAGTCATAAATATCTTTCATTCCATGCTAATGCATTAAACGGAATGCAGCTGTATGCCCAGGCTGAAGCAGCGCATTTACATGATGCTGTTACCCAGATTAACTCTGATCTCGAGCATATTTTCAACTGGTCGAAAAAGTACGGTGTTACTGTAAATCCCACCAAATGCCAAGCCATAATTCTAGGGAGCGAACGCCAGTTATGCAAAATAGATTATAATTGCGTGATGCCCGTGATGTACAATGATCAAGTCATTCCCTTTTCACCAAAAGTCAAGAATCTTGGGTAAACTATTGATTCCTCGCTCAGCTGGCGAGCGCAAGTTAATGAAGTCAGCAGTAAAGTTTATTCCAACTTGAGACAATTATATAGATTTAAAAATTTCTTACCACCTTATACTAAAAAACTTTTAGTTCAATCACTTATACTTCCACATCTCGATTACGCTGATGTGTGTTACTCAGATGCAAACATGGAGGTTCTTAGCAAATTGGATCGCCTCCTTAATCAATGTATTCGCTTCATTTATGTACGTATATATATATATATATATATATATATATATATATATATTTACCTATTATAATATTTATTGTTGTAAGTTAATAATTGTTATCATAATGTATGTCTACATATTATATAATCCTTATATAGCTAGCACCTACACTTCTCTTTCACTAACTTTCCGGTTGGCTGGTAGAAAATGCCTTATGGCATTAAGCCCGCCGTTTGTACCAGTTAGTACAAAAAAGTGTGTAAATAAATAAATAAATAAATTTACATTCCTCCATAAGACTTAAACATTCATTAATCACAATTTCTACAGTCCCCTACTGGTTGTCTTAAATGTAACATAGCATCCCATGGTACAGAAAGGATAGCTAGAGATTTTATTACGCGAATAAAGATTTAATTCGGCCAACATTTTCTCGGCGAGACTCGGAAGAGGAGAAAGAAAAACAATAGCTACGAAACTATAGCTTTATTAAATTCAAACTTATTCCTTTTCAAAAGGGTAGAAGGGATAATCTTTCCATTCGACGGGATGGATAACGCGGGTGTTCCTGTTGTATTGGCTGATAGTGGCGACTTCGTCCTCACTGAGACTAAAATCGAAGAGATCGATGTTCTCAGCTATTCTCCTTTGGTTGGTCGACTTCGGAATGGGGACAACGCCGCGCTGGATCTGAAACGAGACAGTGAAATAATGTGAGATGTGCCAGATATTTATTGTGTATGTGCTTTAAAAGGTTGATTAAAGTCTGCGTCAATATCTGAAGAAAATTTAACAAGTCTTTTGCACATAACATTGTAATAACAGATCTTAGTAAAACTTTATTTTATCCAGTTCTGTCTAGATCTGATACATTGATCAGATGGTTTTTATTAATTTTCAACTAAATGTTATGTTTTAAGTTTAATGTTACTAAAACTGTACGTAAGGATTAATTTTATTCAACGTAATTTTATTCACCAATTAAAAAATAACAATGTATTGTGAAAGGTTGACATTTCAAGAAATCAAATATGTTTTAATGAGAACATTTACGATGTAATAAAAATGAAATGCTCAGGATATCTAACTTAACTTTGTTTCCAAACCTACCCTTTTCTTTGCTATATATTTTCTGTATATTCAATATCAGCTTCGCTGTTAAAAGTTTGAGTACATATCGCTTGAGTCTTTCAATAAAAACTCAAGGACGCCGAAGATATGCGTGATTATAAGAAAGAAAACAAATTATATACCCAAATATTGTCTTGTGTATTGTATTTATTCTTCGTTCGGGGGCATGCATGAGGTTTAAAAGGACAAATAAACTCACCAAATATCTTAAAATGACCTGTCCGAAAGACTTTCCGTATTTTTCGGCTATCTTCAACAGAGTAGTTTTGTCCAGGTTCATGGCGCTTTCTCTGCCTACGAAGAATCCGAAGGGACTGTAGCCCATAACGACTATGCCGTTCGCTTGGCAGAAGGAGACCATTGGCTCTTGGGTGAAGGTTGGGCTGACCTGTGGAATAAGAGCATCGTATAACGATGCAAAACTCTAAGATGCATCATACTAAATATCTAGTAGATTATTAAGACAAATTTTGATTGCATGGACTGCGCTATAGTTTATGAGACCCAAAAATGTTTCCTTTGACACAGCGAGTGTTTTGATTTCATGTTTGTGAAATCCCCTCTTGAGGTATAAATTAGCCCGTGATTACTTAATCAAATTATTTAAATTAAATTTATTTGATGTAGGTACTTTCCATCATGTTTTGTCAAACCTAACTCTAAGGCAGCTTTTTATTTATATAAATTTATACAATTGCGTTACCGTGACAATGAGTAATCTTAGAAATATAAGTAATTCTGTGAACATGTTAGTTATAAGGTACAATGGGACTGACATATGCATGTTTGTATAAAAGTCCCTGAATTAATAAAGAGATAAAAAAATCCCCTCTGATACAAAGAATATTCCCCAGCACGAAATCATTTTTTAAGAACCGACTAACTTAATGCTCGATATAGACTCCTTTCTCAAAACGCTTATATTGTAATAGAATGGAGACGCAGAGGCCGAAATAATTTTCTACTCCCTTGCCATAACTAACCGGTCTGCACCACCTTATATTATGAATATACGGTTTAGTTAGTATAAATATACTTCAAGACACTGGCTTCCACCGCACAGGGGATCTAATGACATTAGGCAAAATGATACATAGTTATTAACGGCAACTACAATTTGAAATATTTTATATGAATTTGTGATCAAAATTCGTTACAATCTACAGAAACCAAATCCGTCTCATTGCTTTCAGTCGCAGATCACGTGTGTCAGAATAAGTCTAATCTTACATTGGTAAATCATTATTGTAAACAATACCCGAGGAATTCCGCGACGATTACCCGCAATTATGAAGCATTAACTTCCTTTTACATCGTCAATATGTGATCAATCGCGCATTTGCCTATCCTTTGTTCTATCTGATATTGATTATTCAACACCTTCAATGGTGCTTATTGAACACTCATGCTAGTCGTCCAGAAGGTAAGGTACATCTAATAATTTCTATTGTGAAATATCATCAGAATCACTCCGTTTACGCTTGCAATGCTCACTCTATATGAGGTTAGCGAGAGAATTGACCTGTTTTCTTACTACAGAAATGATTTTATCATAGTATATCATTATGTGATCTGTTAGATCTAAAATAATAAGTATGACATATTTGGCATATTCTTTCTTTGTTTAATTGCTTATATGTAATCGATAGTTTTTATTATTCGTGTGCGTGTGTCAATAAATTCCTCATCTGCCACTTTTATTCATACATCTCACACACATGTTCATCGCCTAGTTGACCCTGTGTGAATTCATTATAAAAGTTCTAAGTAATGATGTCGCTTAAACAGAAGCTTCGTGATATTCTTTAATTGAGACACAATTCGAGTCGGTTCCATGACATTTACATCGATAAGTGAATAAATCGACAACGGATATTAGGCATTTCGAACACGAGTTTCGTCGTAGATAGCGGTGCTAGTGGTTTTCGGTAAATTTACAACTGATCGTTGCATCGCTGGCTTATCGTTACGAATAAAAAAACCAAATCAATTAAAAACGTGTTCGTGATGAGACATCGTAATGTCAAGGTCACATTTATTTGTAATCGCAAAATTGTTACAAAGACGTAATATATATTTCGCTTGCGACGCTTATATTCAGCGGAATGTTTTTGATGGCGCAATACTCTTATCGATGATATTGAACATTAGTCACGGGCTATCCGAACGCATTAGCGATCTCATATATTTATTCTAATATTCTTGCTATTAGTAATTTGATATTCCTCTATCAATGCAATATAAATTGATTTTTACGCATTATAAATAATCCGTCACAAAAAAAAATAATTTCAAAATTATTTAGTAAAATACAAAGATGTTCTCGTGTAAATGAACATACAGCCAGTTATATACCAATGTACTTCACATTTGGTATTATTTCCTACAAGCGAAAGATATACAGAAAATTCTATTCTAAAATAGGTGCATATGACTGTGTACATACGTATAATTGTAGTCTCAGTTCGCGCAAGTCTACTTGAACATATAGTCTAATCATTAACTGCTGCATCGCATATATTTTTATAGTCTGTTTTATGCAATTTTATGACGGATTATGCAACATGCTGTATATCCAATCATTAATTGCTGAATCTCAGATATTTTTATAGTCTCTTTTATCCAAATTTACGACGGATTATGCAACATGCTGTATGTCCCGGGACAGATACATTTTTTTAAAACAAACTTACCTCAACCTCGTTGACCACTGGCCTTGTACGACTGTTTGCAAGCAACCTCTGCAGCTGCTCGATATTAAAGTTCGAAACACCTATCGACCTGGTAAGACCCAGGGCTTTCGCTTCTTCCATACCCTGCCAAGTCTCTAAATAATCCACGTTGTCTGGGGAGCCGTCTTCCTACAGAGGATTGCAAAACAATCACGCTTTATTAAAACAGAATTAGTGGGAGATAATAGAAACAAATATTAAGATAAATTACTATACATTATTTACCATAAGTTATCGTTTAAGGCTACTACTGTATTTATTTTACTTTATTCTGTATTTATTTCGATATTATAATATGTACAAATATTCATTACGTAATTTGTTTTGCTTATAAAGTATTTCTGCAAATTCTTCAATGTATTCTTCTAAAATGTATAATATTTTCATCTTCTAAATCTTTTTTTAGTTAACTATAACCGAAATAAAAAATATTAACGACACCAGAAGTAGTGCTTAACATAAACAAAGACAGAATTTCAATTCAAACTGCTGACGTTGGATTTAACAAAAAATCGCGGAAATACATAAATACGTAATAGTACAGCCAATTATTATAAGGAAATGAATGATATTACGTAATTGGCAGTACAATTCAAAAAAATGGAACCATTGTATTTACTTTGTTATTAAATAAACTAAAATACATGGCACTGCTTACCTTAGTGGAGACCGGGAAATGAATCAGGTATAGGTCCACGTATTCCAATTTGAGTCGCTTAAGAGACTCACGGAGGGCAGGCACAACTTGCTCCCGACGATGGTTGTCATTCCATAGCTAATAAATACGAAAAAATAACAGGTTAATCTTAATATACAACTGAAGTACACAAATTAAAACCAGAACCTTCAACGGTTTCAATTAACACCAAAACTTTAAATTGATATGAATATAATTCTGTTTTATTTTTAAATAAACACATAAGGACTGGGTAAATACCTGTACGACTGTACAGTAGTATTAACGTGTGTACGTATGTACGTACTTGATTGTATGTGCTATTTAAAGATCATTTGCTATTCCATTACTTTGTTGCAACCTTCGGGTTCTACCGGTTTTCTAACGGATAAAATCCCAGGCATTATCTTACGTATTCCATTGGCAGAGTATTTACCATAAATGAATGTTACAACATGTTAACTGAAACAAACCTACGATGTTATCATAAGATGTTCGAGCGTCGAAAACGTTTATAAAAAGTACTAAGTTTAATTATAAAGGAATTGTTTTAATTTCTAAAATATATAGCCTGAGAATTTAAGAAGCAAGATGAATAAAATGACTGATCAAAAATAGTTTTGGTTTTGATTCGTATGAATATGGAGTGAGTCGCATAGATGCTTCGTATCCCTAAAGAGCTGATATAATAAGCGATCTTTATAAACTGATCTCCGAAATATGTTTACATCCTACACATTCCATATATAGTCTTCTTTGCGTTATTTTCCTTTAACTCCGTTTCTAGAACATACCATATGACAAGGTTACTTGGGAAACAATGAAGGATGAATAGAGGATTCAATATCGGATTACTCCAGTATAGTGTAATTAAACCAAGCAACCTGACACAGACCTACACAGCTGAAAGTTGATCTGGAAGTGTCCTATATAAACTGTTTTACTCGGTTACCTTAGTCGTGACGAATATGTTGTCCCTGGTGATGATATTCTTATCTATGGCCTCGGCTATACCCTGGCCTACTTGCTCCTCGTCCTCGTAAACCGCTGCCGTGTCGATGTGTCGGTATCCAGCCTCCAAGGCCCAGAACACGGCCTTCCGCACTTCGTCCACGGACTCGCTCTGAATAATAACACTATCATATCTCTCCGTACAGCCATTATTTGTCACCCAACATACAAAATTGATCTTGATACGACTCTACCTTTTGAATATAGCCGCACAAGTCCTCATGCGTTCACCATCTATTGAGGGTGGAATTGTCATCTACGGACCATCGGGTTTTGGTGCGGAACGTGGACCCGTGGCGCAGTTGCCAAGGTATTGGCTTCGGCGCCGAGGTTCGTGAGTTCGATTCCCACACGAGACAACTATTTGTTTGACCCACAGATAACTGTTTCGGATCTGGGTGTTGGTTCACGTGAAATTTGCGTATGTAGAACGTCCTTACAACTGTAGTAGTACATTTTAATTGCACATTTGAATATAGTTCTATCAAGAAATTGATTAAAACTACCTGTATTTCATTATTACAAATAACCTAGAACTTGATTACAACCCCAAAAGATAGGAAAAGTACAAATTTAACAAGAGGTAAATGCGGATTCTGGGAGTTCCTGTTTTGTACATGTGTACCGTTAGGTTCATAAGCAACTTGACTAGAACTTAAAACCCTTCTACTATATAAAAATTTTTGCTTAACAAATCTTTTTACGTTTTTTATGACTAAAAATCATCATATGGTGGAAGTAAGGGAGAGAATTTCGACTGCGGCGCGATAGAGGCATTTTATCCGCGACACATACAGTTTTTCACCAACGATTGATTTGACAACGATTGCGTTAGTGCGATTGCTTGGGTGAACTTCAGAGGCGCATTCGAGTTTTTCGCGTGTAATACGCAGTTCATTTACCTCTTTAGCGGTGCCCCTGCCGGTTCCTAGGGCAACGATCGGCATCAGATTCCCGTCGCTCAATTCCGCGCACGGCACCTGCGAGCCCGCTGCCACCATCTGGAATGTTCGAGTTATTTGCACAATATGGAATTTTCTCACGATCGAATTCCCATCTACGTTTAAATATGTCCCACTTTTCGACAAATCCTGCTCTGTGACCGTATTTAAACGTCCACTTCTCAATCCAGCCTATGCATTTAATTTTTCTATTGTTTTCGTATAATCTTTTCTACTATAGCATAAGCATATGCTTAAACTGTAGTTTAATCTTTCAATGTTACGTGGGTGGTCATCAATCGATTGAATTCGCGAGAGTCACATTATGTTGTGTACAATAGTTTCTTATAAAAAAATACATTTATATGTATTCCATACAAATATGAGGGCTATAGATAGTTATAATGTCGCGAAATCTGTCATGAGAGTTTCAAGAGCTTTTAATAAATAAATTAAGACTAATAACTTAATTAACAATTAAATAAATAAAAAACAATCGAAACACCGCGTATTGTTTTAAATGTGCATGACGTCATGGGGGAAACCTAAAATCTTCGAATATAAACAATCTAATATTTGCAAAGGTCTTATCCTGTTATTTGAAACGACATTTGATATCGTTCTAACATCAATTAACCTTTTTTAATGGCTTACTAATCTGTATTTCTTTTTGTTACATTACTTATTCACGATAAACGAGTGAGTTTTCGGTCTGTTTAATAAACGTTCTGGCTGGGTGTTTTAAAACATAGCCGAAACTTGGGACTTAATTTATAAAATTAAAATGACATGAATTAATATAATTACATTATATTCCTTTATATAACTACATTAAAAAGGAAACTTTTCAAGTTGGTTACTAAATGAATAAAAATCATAATGGCAATAATGGTCATTATCAATGATTATTATATTGACACGAATACTACACATTGTTCAATAAAAATATCTGAGATATTTTCTCGCGTTTTATTTGCTTGGTCGCTCCCGTGACCAGGGATGCTGTCCATTATCATAATAATTTTTACACTTTTTTTGAAAATCTTTAAATTGTAGTTCATAATATAGTTAACTCACAATATTCGGACTACCATCATAAACACGAAAGTTCGTGACACACGGTAGCCAACGTCTCAACAGATTTGACTGTAGTTAAGAACGAATCCCCGTTATTTCTAATCGCATTTTAATACACAATTTAATTTCTAAAAGATAACGTGGCAAGACATAGGCAAAAGGTACTTTTCTATTCAAATCTAGTCTGTATACAAGAAAGTGAGACGTAAGTGTACCTTGCAAAAATCCATTCGCACGCTTGTTACCAATTTCATCATATCAATTGAGCAACTATTTCTTACAACACCCCGAGACTTCCGTCGTGACAAAGATTAAGTCAACACATTAATCTAAATCGGTCCAACCACAGACAAGCCTTGTTGAACATACATTGTCTATCCATCTACAAACCGCAACAATATAAAGACAGACATCTCGTTGTGTTTGACTCAAGAATCGAAATATGTTATTAAGTAATTCCATTTAAATACGGTAATTTAACACAAATAAAACGCACATGTGCAGAAACTACCTACCACATCATGAGAGAAGGCAAGTGAGTTTTCGGTCTGTCTGAGGAATACAAGTCCCAGTTGGATTTTACAAAATATAGCCGAAAACTAGAACTCAATTTATTTAACAAAAATTACATGTTATGTAATAAACCTAATCCACGCGGAATGGTGTCAAGAATTCCTCGCTGAATAGTTATGCTTAACTTTTGAGCGAGAAAAGAACCAGCTCTCCTGTCACCAGACGCGGCATTAAGCCTAAGAATAATGGAATAATATGTAATTTTAGATAGATTAAATCTTGTAAATATTAGATAAACATTATTTTACCTGGCAAAAAAGAAATATTTAACTAATTATAATAGAAAAGGACATTTTAAGGTTAGTTGCTGAATAAATAATGACAAAAATAACCATTATCAATAGTACAGAGATGACGAAATACCACTTTGTACGATGTAGAATTGTTTTTACATATATTTTATAAGAATAGTTGTCTAGACCAGCGCATTGCAAACCTTAAAAGGATCGGCCTCCGATTTTTTCGGTCACAAAGCGAAAATGATATGTACTTTTGCTTTGCCCCAAGGATACCAACATATTCGTGCAGCGTCTAAAACAATGCTGTACTAAAGAAAACATCCTCAAGTTCGTAAGTGAGTAAAAATTATATATAAAGCACTTCAATCTCGTGCATCTTCAATCTGTTCGATATACATTCTGATGTATTTATATTCAATGAAAACAATGCACTCCATACATTAGACAGTCCATGACAATGGAGATAGTGGCCAGCCATTTTCTTGTTTTATGCGAGAAGGTGGAAATTGAGCTGGCGGATCACCTGATGTTAAGTGGTAACCACCGCCCATGGACATTTGCAACGTCCGTAGAACTGCTTATGAGTTGCCAACTTTTAATTAAGTGGGCCCGGCTGCCTCTCCCACCAGACGAGACGCAGAAGTGTAACAGTTCCACTTTCCACCGGTCTTCCGTGAGGTCGTGGTACTTCCCCGGGCGGACCTGCCCATTCGTACAACAACGAAGGCAGTTGCGCGTGTTTTTTTTTTATAATGTCAACTTTGGCCAATCAACTTACGTCCGGTATCTGAAACACTGATCATCATAGATGTCAACTAATCAGCTGTCAAATGGCTTTTCAAATTTCATTTGAGTTGCCAAAAGGATCATTTTGATCATTGTGATCATTAAGAAGATCATTATGGTCAATTCAGAGAGTTCAGAACTCCTACATTATTTTATAGTAAGCCAAATATTTATTGTGAAACAATCGTTTCCCACATTTGTAATCCTAAAATTTTATAAGAACATTAATAAATAAATAAAAATGTACTTTTATAAATTTGTAAATATCGGACTTTATTTACAAATAACTGATGCAACTATTCATGTCTATATATATCATGCAATTAACATTTATGCGTATGCAACATTTATATTTATTCACATACTAAGCGATAAAATCCTTGAAGAATTAAACGCTCGTAATATAATTAAAGAACGCTTGGAAAATAAAAATGAAATTTAAAAACTAGTTACCAATGATGAACAAAAACATAACCACTAAATTAATTCAAGGTTTAAATAATAAAATTTCGGTTTATGTTTTTTTTTATTTAAAAAAATATATATTTACAATTATTGGCCAATAGAAAACCGTGGTTGTTACCAGAAATCTTCATATTTAAGGCTGTTTTAAAGGTCAATTTTTTGATATTATTTTGTAATTGAATTTATAATTAGATACTATTATTCGATTAAGAAACGTTGAACCTTAGTCGTTAAAAAGGTATTTTTCAAATTTCAACTAATAATGCTATTACAAATTCATCTTAACAATATATGTACCTGTCGTACGTTCGTAACTATTGTAAAATCTGTCAATATTCTCTAAACAATACCGAAAACAGAAAGTAATATAATTCTTTTGAAAGTAATAAATATTATAAAAATACATACAGTCGTACATAGAACGTACTACTTTTTTGAAGTCGGTTAAAAATGAAAGTTTGATTTCATTAAATGAAATAACAGCATGAAATTTCTAATAAATAAAAAAATAATAGACACTGTTTATAGTGTCCATAAACTTACAGTTAAAGTAAACCTATAACAGCGTATAATATATATAATACAATTATATATAATATATATAATACAATTATATATAATATATAATATATATAATACAATTATATATAATATATAATATATATAATACAATTATATATATTACAATTCGCCAAAATCTAAACAAATATTATATAAAAACTTCTAGGTGGTTTATAAATTTTTTTTAACTGCTGTGGGATCGGGATCCTTAAGGTAATAAATATTATTCAATGCTATATGTAACACTAAAATAAACAGGTTTCACTTACGTAAACCATGGTTAGAACCGTGAACGCCGACACTAGAGGAGCCATGTTGTCTGTCTTAACGTAACAACTACACTGGGTCTATCATCTCAAACGCTTGCCTATATAATACGAGAAAAAACCACACGTATCTAAATGTCAACGTACTGGTTTGACCACAGACAAAGGCTGTACGATGGTTTTGAGAGGAAATGGTATGATTAAATATAAGTGAATCTAAACGGTAAAAAGGTGATATAGTAATTGATAAGATACTTACTTAGAAAGCAATTATTAGAGTACATCTATGTCCTAAAACATTCAAAATTTGTTTTTACGCACATAAACTTAATTTGTATCTTTACATGATTGTGTGGATATTCTTGAGCGTGTAGGATAAACTTTAAAGGCGTGTTTATCTAAAATGGTGGCCAGCGAGCTGACGGTTCACCTGATGTTAAGTGATAACCGCCGCCCATTGACGTATACATTATACAACACCCGTAGGATTTCAGATGCGTTGCCACATTTTAATGAGACGAAACACATAAGTATAAAACTTCTTAACCGAGGTGGTTCTTACCCGGATGGACCTGCCCATTTATACAACAGCGAAGACTGTTGCATGGCATTACCACAGATTTGTCTTACACTACTGATATATGTAAAAGTCTTGTAAATTCATATGTATATTCAATAATAAAGGGTTCTACTTTAGTGTAACATGCGTTTTTTACATAGAATGTTGTTTTGACTGTTGTTTTCAAACGGCCATTTTTGTTAGTATCACACAAAGGTTATTGCACCGCTCGTTAACCACCGCCTCATATGTAATATGCTTATGTAAATATTAGCTTAATCCATGACTCAGTATTTTTTCGAATATTAAGAGTTATTATCTGTTTGAATGAAAAAGGCATCACTAACTTTTGCAATTCATTATTGACAGTAAAATCATTGTAAAAGAAGAGAGCAAATGTTTTATTGTTTTCCTATGTTATTTTATTCATAAATTAAAAAAAAAGACTTAATGGCCAAATCTATAGTCGAAAGTACCGAAATATGGATGTTAGTAGTGACAAAGAGGTAAGCAATGCACCAAATGATAAGAAATCACTGGTTACGTGTTGCAACGCTAGACGAGATGCAGAAGTCGCCTTCCTTTAAGGTGGATTTAAGAAAATGTTCTCTTCTTTAAAGTCCCAAAATCGCATCGGTCCGGAAGCTGGTGACAATTTATTTCAAAAACTGGTCCTACGCAGATCGCTTCGCCAAAAGCACACGGTAGTGAATTACCAACCAACATGGCATCGATACACTGGCAAGATACGATGACGAAAAACCATGGTAAAAATTGTATATACAAACACTATATACAATTACACAATAGTAATGAGGATGTACGAGTAAATGAGAAGGAGATAAAAATGAAGACATATCAACCGCCATTAGATAATTATTAAATTGATAGGTGTGTGTGAAATTTAATACATTTAATTGTGGTAGAGCCACGCAGCAGCCTTGGCTGTTTCACGAATGGGCAGCCTCGTCCGGGTAAGTACCACGACTTCACAGAAGACCGGCGTAAAGTGTAAGCATGACAAATACTTTCGCGTTTCGTCTGGTGAGTGAGGTAGCCGGAGCCCAATTTTCAAAAGGTTGTCAACGCATCTGTAACCCTCGGATTTAGCAGATGTCCATGAGCGGCGGTATTCACTTAACACCAGGTGAACCGCCTGCTCGCTTGGCAACTTTTCGCATTAAAAAAATTAAAAACTTTCTTATTATTATTGCGTTAAAGAGTCCCTCTAAAAGTTTTCGTTTGTTTATGTGATAATAATTTCGACCTCGTAACCCCGATCTGCGATGTGGTATTATGCAATGTTTTTTTTTCTTTTAACCATAATAGATTATGTTGTGTAGTGTTGGCTCTCTAAACTAGTTAGTGAAAAAATATTGTGTTTATTGAATTATTGTTTCACTATACTCTTATCATCTTTCTTAGTTTGATGCTTAACGCATGCATGTCCATAAAATTCCGCCTTTCAATAACATCAGCCCTGAGTGATTTCAAGCATGTTAAGAAGACCTGATATCATTTTACATTTTACTTAACATATTTTTGAGTCTCCATGTTTTCACTTTGAACAAATGAGCTAAGATAGGAAACAAATGTTTAAATTTAAATTTGTTTCCGCCAATACTCACGACCCCTTTTAACATCAGTTTTCGGCGAGCTTGCAAGATCCATTTATTAGGGAGATAAAAATACTCACACAAATGAAAATATACATAAATAATACACCCCGCTGGCTATTTACTGAAGTCGTGTAATACACATGTATTAACACAGATACTAACATACACACGTATAACGCTCTGAGCAGAGGAAGTATTCATGCAATACATGTATAGCTACTATACTAACTATAATTATACGATGCCAATAGACTGGAGGAGTCCATCTACGTTCGTTATATTGCATTTTTAGCATCCATCTAGTGTGCATCCATACTACATATGGCGACATTTCTCGTTACAAATATTCATCGTTGAATGTTTTTTGTAAGGTGTTGTATGCTGTAAAGGTTGCTTAATTAATTGCAATAGAACGAACGTAGATACATGTAAATATTTTTGCGCCGTGAGGTCATTGGCCGCTTAGCTTAGTTGGTAAAGCGTCTGAACGGGAAACCAAAAGGAACAAGTTTGAATCCCGCAGCACCGAAACTTTTTGTTATTTGCGAAAATTTACAATTTAAAAAAATTTCGGCATGTATTGAGTCCTGTTACGAAATTAACAAACCGATGGTAATGTTTTATTGACTGCAAGGAGGCTTTCGACTGCATAATCTGGAAAGAACTGTGGTGAGTACTGACAGACATGGGAAAGCCTCACCGTCTCATAACGCTCGTAGGCAACATGTACAGTGGGAGCATAGGTGCCGTGCGAGTTGAGAATTCGCGTCTACCTTCGAACTTCCAAAAAAGTCTGCGCCAAGGGTGCATTCTGTCACCGATCCTCTTCAACATCTACGACGAGTACATTATCCGGAAAACTAGGAGGTTGCGAAGGAGGGAGATAGTGAACCTATGATACGTAGATGACACTAATTGTAGTATAGATAGATTGGTCCTTGGCAAGCAGGTTCTTGCCAATGATTTAAAAGAAATGGATTTCGTGCAGAATGTTATTTAGGGGCGACAAACACTGGCTCTAGTGAGAAAGAGATTCGCCACAGAATTGGAACAGTGAAAATGCAATGGCGCAATTGGTTAAGATCCGGAAAAAGTGCAATAAACTGTGAAAAACTAAAATCAACGAAGTGCGCACACTAATTTTTTCCATTTTCTTCTACGGTCAGAGACTTGGACTTTAAACGCCGATGACATCAAAAGCATAGATGCTTTCGACATGTAGTGTTGGGGTTAAAATATGCTAAGAATCCGATAGACGGCACGGCGAGCCAACATCTTAATGAGATATTAACGGAGCTCAAAATACAGAATTATAGCAAGTCTTTCAACGACGACGTATAACGATACCTAGGGTACTTTAATATTTCAGCCATGTGATTCTCAGATGACCCCGATAATCCCGAACGTACTATCCTGTTCGGGAAATTCGATGGTCGAAGACCATTTGGATGTAGACCAGCTCGGTAGGCCTATTTACTAAATGCAATGCCTTCTCTCAAGGCTTCACAACTTCCTACACACTCGACACTTATACTAACACACGTAAAACGCTCGGATGAGAGCTAGAATTAGACAATATACAATATTACACACCCACGCTCACTCTCTCACTTTAGCTCAGCAAAGATACACAAAAAACATAAAACAGACATATACCTAAAACACACATGAAACACTCGCATAGAATAGCAAGTATTATACAGTATACAAGCGCACTCATAATTATGTACAACGCTTAGTAGACAAGAGTGAGAGCTACGAAGTATGGGACTCAGAGGAGACCAAGAACATAAAAAAATACTGTGTAATGTATTCTATTTCATTCTCTCGCTGGGGTAGTCCTATATATTTATGTGCTGCTTTCTTTGTCGTGACCCATTTTCGTTTCATCGCGTTTCAAATCTCAAAGATTCTACAGAAGTTTCACTTTAATAAAATCTAAAGTAACATCCCAGTTAAGAAACTCATTAATTAACCGCTGTACTGTATTTTTTTTTTTTTAATTAAATCGACCTCGATCGAATTGTATGCCACAATACACCGGATAAGAAATGTCTATTGCGTAAATATGTTTTATCGCCATAGCGATATCCGAAAAATACATTTTAGATCGTTCGAAATTCAAAACATTACCTAACGTCACAATGACGAAATTTAATGTTCTCAAAAATAAATTAATGGCGTAGAATGCTTTTCATCATGTTTATTTTTTTCATTTAAATATATGTACATATATAAACGACCTTATTGTGAGTTACGTCAATATATCGTATATTAGCGCCAATTCTAAATCTAGGCAAGTTCTTAATTGTTTTGAAACAAATGATTACGCCAAAAGAAAATCAATCTTCGCCTACACTTCAGCCGTGTCGCACCAGCAATGACCGTGGTCTCTATAATAAAGAATATATAATGTTTCAATTGCAGGCGTGAGGTATAAAAGAAAATGAAGGGGAGGATGACAGTTGTAGGAAAAGGTGTTAGTGGTCAATATCCGAAACAGATTGTCTGAAAAAATTCATAGAGACCTCAGAAACAATGCACACAGTCTGTATCTGTACAGACTAATATGGACTTAAATAGATAAAAATTTTTATAATACGCAAAAAAAATACTTAATTAAAATAAATGAGGCTAATGTCACTGGCCCTCTTTTTAAATAAAACGAGTCAATTTTAAAATTTTGCTGCCAGGTAGCCAGTGTGGTTTCTCGTTAGTCTAACTACAGTACATATAAAAAAAATTGTTATACTAAGAGATACTTAAGATTTATGAAAGCTTATAGTACGAGTTAATATAAGTCTGCAGGTCGGTCTTTCCTGCAGTCTTTTCTGATATGCCCCCTTCGTCCATTACGCCTCGTTAAGGTGCATCATCATCATGCCAACACCTATCACTGATGACGAAACCTGGCTAATCTAGGTTCAAGAAGTGCGACGTCATAATTTGTTTCTTTAACAGTTTGTCAGATGTCAACGACGCGGTTAAGCCCCAATCGGAACCACGAAATGTTTATGCCCTTGCGTTCACCCCCAAACTCACCAATAAACGATTCAAGAGTTATTTTGGCCGACCCCGAAACCTCGCGTAATAACCGTATTCGCCAGTACTGACCTCTAACAAGTCTTAACGAAAGAGGAATGCATAACGAGCAGCAAGTATTCGTTTTTATTCTAGTGGTCTACAATGTTCGGTTTAGTGGTTTCTTTTCTCATTTTCAATTTACACTCAAGATTTAACAGAGTATCCTCTTTATAACACTTATTAAATATATGATTGATTATATAACGGTGGTAGGGCCACGCAGCAGCCTCGGCTGTTGCACAAATGGGCAAGGCTCGTCCGGGTACCACGACCTCACAGAGGACCGGCGTCAAGTGGAAGTATGACAAAGACTCGCGTTTCGTCTGGTGAGTAAGGTAGCCGGAGCCCAATTTTCAAAAGGTTGTCAACGCATCTGCAACCCTCAGGTGTAGCAGGTGTCCATGGGTGGCGGCATTCACTTAACATTAGGTGAACCGCCTGCTCGCTTGGCAACTTTTCACATAAAAAATAAATAAAAGTTACGCGCAGAAAAAAATCTGCCATTGATTGTGCATGTTCCCTTTTCTAGTCACAACAGCATACATTGGAACAAAATTTAGAATGAAAAATTCTTGTATAATCGTTTCTTTTGATCCTATGAACTATTTTCTTAATGGATCGCCCGTACAAAGCCGATCCTTTATGATAAGAATATTTCTTAATAGTGCACGTGACTTGTTAAGTAATGTTCCAATAATCTACAGTGCTATATTGTTGAAATGGATATGTGGTTAAAAAATAACAAACATAACGCAACGAAAATTAATAAAAAAGCAAAGGACAGGTTGTACAAGGCTTTTTATTTTGTAAGCCTTCTTACAAAGTGTAACTTCTAACATGAGTACGATTCATAGACCCGCAGTTCATTATTATAATATATCATTGAATGAAATATACAAAAACCATATACTTTACACAACAAAAAAAAATACTTATATATCTTCATAAAAACGTTCATTGCAAAACCGTACATAGATTTAATTGCCGAATACTTAAAAGGCTAGTTTGTTACGCAAGAATAATTCAGAGGTTTACTAAATAATTTTCTTCCTTGAACATTGTTTCAATAAGATGTAAAATGTTCTAATCGAACAAAGAATAAGGAAGGAGAAAAAATACATTATGCTTAAGTTCGGAAAAATTACGCAACTTTTTTTTTACTTATAAGTAAAAGCTAGTCTTTAAATAAAGTAAGAGACTTAATATGTGTCAATTTTCATCGACCAGATTGGCGTAGTGGATAGTAGACCTCTCTTGCGCCAGAGGGTGTAGGTTCGAACCTACTGGTAGAACAGTGTGTGATTGACATATTGTTTTTCTAGTGTCTGGCTATTTGTGAACTGAAATATAATATGTTATTATAAAATACAATATTAATTTTAAAAAACCGGCAAAGTGCGAGTCGAACTCAAGCACAAGGGTGCGGTTATATGAGGTTGATGCCAATTAACCTAGTCCTCTAAATTGTATGGCGAATCTTAGTTGGTGTCAACTATGTATGTATGGAGAGTCTTTAATTTTCATCTTTTTTATTTTTAGTAATCTTTCCTTTATTTGTGCTAAGCCCTTGCTTTTTTTAAATTCGTGACCCATCCATGCAACCGTAAAGACAAAGCATGGCCCTACCACAGTAATAATGTATCTTGAGTTATTGATAAGACAATTTTTATCGATATTCAAAGATGAGGACACAAAAAGAGCAGACGCATGTTTATTTTTTCAACCTTACTACAATTGTCAATCGGAACCAGGCTTCTGGTCCACATAGCACTTTCACCGGCCATCGGCCGTCCAATGGTTTCCGAATTGAGAAGTAGATCGAATGTATCGATTAGAAAATATTACTTCGCGCCAAAACGGTAAATAATTAGGCGTTTGAATGCAACTACTGATACTTAATATTGCACGAATAAAATACGTAGGACATGCTCGTTGAATTTCGTATGGGGTTACAAATGTTGCTTTTGCTGACTCGATTTGCTTTTAAGATCGACTTCTTTACTTTAAACTACTAGAAGAAACCAATCGCAAATAGTCGTTATAAGTATATATGGGCTCTGAGAAAGGGGCGGCTGGAACTTACTATATGGGCTGGGGCCTAGAGCGGCTCAGACTACAAATCCACCACTGCATATAACTGCGATTTATTTAATAACGATAGTGTTTCCGGTTTTTAAACTTATCATCGATACAAGATAAGTCCGAATAATAAGGGAGCATAGCATATTTTTATATAATGAAAATTTAGGAAACCACTGGCTTTTGTTTTTTTTTAATTTTGAAGTAGGTACGAGGCCATAAAAAATAAACCCACAGAATTCACGAGTTATAACCAAAGTACTTTACAAAAACATATTATATATGAGTATTACTCGTTAAATATAAAAAATATAAAAGCTAATTTTTATTTGACAAAGCATTATAAATTTTTATTTTACTCATAATAAGGTAAAGGACGTCCTCTATAGTAAACACTTACCATTATATTAAGCCAGTCCAATAAAAACGTGATTGTTGATTGAAGGCACACTTTGTACTAAAATTTTACGTTTGTCCATTATTATTAAATCGATATCGATTTAAAGTTGCATTGACATAGTTTTTAACGGACATTGATCGAGACAAAAAGAGCGATGAGTGTATTTGTATCTTTAAAGGTAGGTTTTCTATCTTTATACTTGTACCTAAGTAGTTTTGAAATCTAATGAAAGGTATAATTACCGCCTAACTGCGTAAGATTTATTTCTTAAGTATTCCGATCTTATAAGTTATTTTATTTTTCTCATAATTATGACAAAAAAATAGTTATGGCATTGTAATTTGGTTTCATTACCATTATAGGCCTACATAAATATGTTCATCAACCAATAAATTATATAGCAGAAAGCACTAAACATAACTGAAATTAGTATGAAACAGTGTAAAAAAACAATGAAAAGACCAGGTTTCTCATGTACAAACATCCATAATAGTGAAAGTTAATAATCGCAAAGATTCCTTGCGTCCGGTGATAATCGAGGTGGCTGATTGTAAAAAGATTTTATGCGTGCGACGGACGCGTCGCACTTTTAACCGTTATGCACACTTATTTGCGTGACACATTACGCTGCGCCGTCCGCCATACGAACGTCTACAGTCGAAAGCGTCGACCGTTCGCGATAGCATTCCGTTACTTGCCACCGAAATTCACTTTCAACTGCGGGGCATGCAGAGATACACCACGTGATCGATTCGACTGGAACGCATCTCGTTTGACGTGAAATTTGGCGCGAAACCGAAAAAACAATGGCCGCCAAAACCGTGCTGATCGTAACGCTCTGTTTGTTGGTTTCGCTGTGCGAAATGAAGAAGAGGAAGATGGACTATCCAACGGAGAAACAGTTGGTGCTGCAAAGGAAGGAGACCACTCCCGTCGACTTCACGAGGCTGGTGGTGATGCGGTTGGTGTACGGTTTCGCCAAGGTGTTGGGTTTCGATGAGCCTGTCGGTGAGATCCTAGGCGGTGCATTTGTTCCGCCCGGAGCTGATGATGACGATGATTACGGCGATGACGACGATGAAGGAATATTTGATGACTATTAAAACCAAACAAGGGTGCTTTGTTTCGTGGTGCTAAATAACTATATTGGTTCTCTTAATTATATAAACTTTGTGGTTGAGAAGAAACAATCATAGGTAAAAAGTTTTCTTTTTAATCTACACCAAAACCAAATAAAATTGCATTTAACTAACGTTAGTATTGATAAAAATATTTTTCTATGTAATTATAATTGTAAATTACTTATTCAATATGATGTTGTAATTATATTATAACAAAACTTCATTATTGATTTTATGGTTACGATAATTATTTATTACGTATTTAATGTTATTTTAATTTTAATTTCATTATTATAATGTACCTGTTAAATAAAATAATACACCATGTTTAGGCTTACTAGCATAATAAAATAAATGTAAATATATTTAAGAACGAAATAAACACTAATATCTTATATTCAGGCACTTTTAATAACTTCCAAATTGTTCTGAATAGAAGACCAAACATCATGAATAAAACTAACAAACTCGTAAAACAATTTAAAATCTGTCATAAATCTTGACGGTCTAGAAACCAGGAATTATTGTCAACGAAGGCGCCATCCTGCGAGCATAGTGCGTCTTCTTCGCATCTGTCCTCTTCACACTCCTCGTCGTCAGGCGAGACGTGAGATGAGCCCTGGGAGCACCCTTTCAACTTCCTTATCAAATCGCCCCACAGCAACTCGGTATCACAGAACGGGCATTTACCGCCTATAGGCACGAACTCGCCGGGCTCTAGAAACAAATCTGCCAGACATGTCACATGTGTTGCCAGATCGCAGTTCGCATTCAAGCACGTCAGTCTCTCTGCAGAATTCAGATAGCCCGAACACAGCAGACATTCCACGTAGGTCGATGTCGGTGCTGCGTCTTTGTGGTTACTTTTGAGAGGTTTCGCTTTAACGGGACCGTGTTTCACTACCATATGTGACGGATGCTCCTTGCCAGGCTGAAAATTAACGTAGATATTTTTATGAATATCGATATATCGATATATCGATATATTCTTCACTTTCGTCATCCCTGAATTGACGAAGAATACCGTTATTCTCTTCTTTCCCCTGCCAAGGTGGCAGGGCATGTGAATGTCGGTCAACCGTATCGGCTAGGTTGGTTGGTAACCACGCTACAGATGGTTTTAAACTGTGGTAGGAATGAGCAGATTCGACGGGAAAGTGCCACGACCTGCGGGAAGAAGTACAGAAGACAGGCGTGAAGACTTCCACGAAAAGGTGGCAACGCTTCTGAAATTCTACGGGTATTCATTATATGGGCGGCGGTTATCACTTAACTTCGGTTGAACCGCCAGCTCGGTTGCCACCTTCTCACATAAAAAACAAGCAAATAGTGTGTACATACGGGAAAGGCTAGACACAGGTCTGCTTCGAGCCAACGTATCACCAAAGGTAGCCGATTCCAAGGTCCAACGCGCAGCATCTCCGAAAGCACGCGAATTTTAAACTGATACTCAGTCTCTTTTCTTGGGATCTTTCTTAAATTCAAATACTGCAGTCTGGTTGTCTTACTTGGATTCTGCCACGCCCATTCGAACTGGAATTATTAAGAGTTCAGATAATATCAAAAAGACATATCTTCATAGATTTTATCGCGTTTAAATTAATTTTCATTTTACGAACTTGCAAATAATTTTCTGTAAGTTCCAAGACCACGGAACGTTACTGGGAGATGCCATGAATGCAATAAAGCTATTGAATAAATTGTTTCATTCCATCATGTTTTCGTGTAAATACAAAAAGTTGGGGTGTGAAACATTCACAACGAAAAGGAACACAATCATCTATTCTTTTTTCTCAGCCATTGCGACATTTTTCAGATTTAGAGCGTATAGGCGACTCAGTTTTAAGAAATATTCAGATTGAACCACCAGAGTATGTCTGTTATAATAACAGTGGTGGGAGGGGAATCAGTGGTAGTATTTTCTGCGGTAGGGCCACGCAACCGCTTCGGTTGTTGCACGAATGGGCAGGTCCGTCCGGGTAAGTACCACGACCTCGCAGAAGAGTGGAATTGTCATAGTACTTCTGCGTTTCGTCTGGTGAGTTAGCCAGAACCCGCTTTATTAAGAGGTGGCAACGCATCTGCAACCCTACGGGTGTAAGTGAACCGCCAGCTGGCTTAACACGTCTTCACATAAAAAAAGTGGTAATCATTTCTAAAAAAAACATTCGCCAATACAGGTTAAACTTAGAAATTCCAGATGCTGCAGGAATAGAGGTTAGAAAATTTGAAAAAAAAATCTATTTCAAAAGAAATTAAAATGCACTAAAAAGTAAGAAGTTAAGTATTCTTCTACAACTTAATAATCAAGTTACTTTTTCTACTCATCAATATACATACAGCGCCCTTCCCACCGCGGCCCCGCTCTCGTCTCTCGCATTGTCAAGTCTATAAATCTACTATGTATGTATTTGTAAATGTAAATACATTATATTATCGTAATAATTTGATTGACTTTTAAGTAGTAAACGCCTTTTGTCGCTCACATACTTAATACAAATTTAAGACATGGTTTTCTCATGGATGCATTGTCAGAACTGGATCAAATTGAAATGGTGGTCCGATTTCAATTCACAGGCTTTCAAATAGAAAAAGAATCATTAAAATCTAATCACTGAGTCGAAAGTTCTAAGCTAACAAACATGAAAAAATAGTTGAATTGAAAACCTCAAAAAATTTTGTTTTGGATGTCTGTTAAAAAGTTATAACTTTGTAAAAAAATAGGCTTGGGAATTGAACCTAAAACATATAGAACATTCAAGGCACATATGTAACAAGCTTTTTATTCTTGTGTTATTTAAAATGGAATTTTTGTCGAAAAAAAAATTGAGAAAAAATGGTGCACATTAATTTATTGATTTGTTATTTGAATTTAAAAGGATATTTAATATGAGCATATAAAATAAAATTCACTGTATTATAAAATTGAGAATCATGTTTAATTAAATGTTATTATTCCTATATAAGAACAAAAAACTCAACTTATTTGCTTGTCAATTTTAAATTCAGGAATAAAATTATTACCCCTTTTAAGTTTATTTTCTAGTCATTTTTTTGAGATATAAATTGTCTTCGAATCTTTTAGTTAATAAATTGGTAAGATAAAGAAGAATGAACTAACTCTCAATGCTGATATGTTGTTTGGAAAGCCGTGTATTATCATCACCATCTTCCTGAAAAAGATATGTATATAGTATATATATATATCCTATATATATATATATATATATATATATATATATATATAGATATGTATATAGTATATATATATATAATACTAATATAGTCATAGTGATGAAAGTTTAATCATTATTAAATGGCTTACAACTTTTTGACTCCTACCATTGAAACTTAATTTTTTTTATTTGGTTTACTGCTGTATCTTTGCTCTGAACTTAATTATTATAATTTAGTTTTACCATGACAAGATTTTAATCATCATTATTTCACGCTGTTAACAATCTGCTGAGGAACATAGGCCTCCTCTACAGACTGCCACAATGCTTGAACCACACGCATTGATCAACTTTCGGCAAATTTGCACAAATCATTTTTTTAAAGAAGGCTTTAAAATATGAAGTATGCAAACTTTAAACTACTTTAGCTCCTGTGTATTAGCCCAGCCCTTATGTATAAACAAATTAGAGAGAGTCAACTCCTCCTTCCACCAAATGATAAAAAGAAATGGGTAAACATTTTTCATTTTATGACTATAAATGGTTAAATTCTGGGATTGTTATCTTTTCTTTATCAATAATTACATCATTGCTTAGCAAATAAAGTGTATGTTACTTTATTTTTTAGTGGTTGACTAATGTTACAACCTGTACCCTAGTAAGCATTACAGAAAATACTTTAACATACCAAGGACCTTTGTTGTTTGTTCGATGAGCTCCCCCAGCCCAAGTCCCTCGGTTATGTTGAGTAATTCTTCTGTTTGGATCTCTGGTGTATCCAATATACGTTCTACCTTTATATTTTGGATTGTTACAATATAATAAATAAACTCCAAAAAAATCTTCTATAGTTTCTGGCTCCGTCATGTTTGTTACACTTCTATAAAATGAATCGACCTTTTTTAATTAACATTTGAGTACATTTACTGCTATAGTATTTATTTTATAAAAATTAAATTATCCAACTATAAAATGAACAATAACTTCTTTCCTTTTTTGGCGGATTTCAATAAAGTAAACAAACAATAACAAAATCATGTGTCAATTGCCACAGACAGTGACAACTACGGTCATAGATAAGACATATATACTGAAATTTATACAGATAAATTTTATTTTTTATATTTTATCATAAAAACAAATTACAATTCACAAGACATAATATATATTGAAATTACAGTAATTGTCTTCCTTGAAATTCTGCTGTGACATTATATTGTGCTACCAGATGAAAAAACCTACACAATTACACATTTTAAATGAAACTAATTTTATGGATTTTTGCAATTTTTTTCTTTTTTGATTTGTTGCAAGAAAGATCCGAAAATTGTTAACTTCAGGGTCATACACGTCTCACACTGATGGTTTAATAGTATTTGTAATTATTATTTTCATGGTATTGGCTTAAAGGTCTTGTAACCAGGCTATATAATATTTGATAAAAAAAATATTATTGTGAACGTGCACCAAACCAAATTTGCGTTAAAAAATATATCGAAATTGATACGAATTCGATAGTCGAAAATAAATATCGAATATCGATATATAGGGAATAAAAATATCGACGATATTTATTTGGAAAAATATCGATATATTTTGCCTATGCCTACTCATACTCATCATTATTTAGACTCACTACTCAGTACTCAGATTCAGAATCAGAATTCAGAATTCAGATTGTATTTGGTATTTGTTTCAATTCGGTACAAAGAGTACTTTTACATATCTAAAATCTTTTCAAAAGATACATATACTGATGCATGTATCGTAGCAAAATGCATAAGTTATGTGGAATGTAAGTATTTATGAAATATTGTAGGCATCATATAATTTTAATGTAAATATATTCGTCCAATTTAAATTCAATATCAACAACTTTATTTTAAGATGTGAAACCACAGTAAGTAAATACTGCTGTCCACGATGTGAAATATTTTACTGTTCACTTGATTGTTACAAATCAGAAAGACATTTGGAATGTTCTGAAAGCTTTTACCGAGATTGTGTTAATGAAGAACTCTCGTCTTGTAATGTCGGTGACGATGCGAAACGTAAAATGCTTGACATCCTTAAAAAAGTTCAGAATGAAGATGTAGATGGAGTTCCAACAGACCGGTTAGAAGATATTGATGAAGATGATGAGTATGTTGATTCGGATGACGATACAGGAATTGATTTACATGAACGGGTAAAGGATTTGAACCTTGAAGATGCTGACGCTATATGGGATGTTTTAACTGAGGATGAACGAAATGAATTTGAAGCATTAATGCAGGGGGAGGTTGGTTCAATTCTATCGCAATGGATACCATGGTGGACATTTAATAAAGAAACAAAGCTAGTAGAAGAAGTTCAACAAACAAATGATATAGAAGAACACCTAAAAAAATGTCCGTGTCTAAAGATTGTCCCAAAGTTTAGTTCAATAACTGTAAGTTATGCTGTATTTAACTGTTTTCTGTGTTGCTCTGCTTCTGCTTCTTAACAACATTATATATTATATTTTATTACATATTCATTATATTATTTGTACATTTAAACACATGTATAACACAAAATTAATACATATTTGAGCATCATCGTAGTTGTATATAAATCTTTGGCAATAAATGTTTATATTATGTGGCCGAGTTGATGCTGTTACTAAGATATTGGCCTACTGTAGCACAAATGGGCAGGCTTGTCCGGGGAAGCATCATGGTCTCGGTTTTTCTTGTCTATCATCTGGTGAGTGAGTTATGCGGGTCCATTTTTGTTAACTGTTGTTGACACATCTGCAAAGCCTCAAGTGTTGTAGATGTCCATGATGCAGGTTATCACTTTACAGCAAGGTAGTTGCTGCTCGCTTGACAACATTTCACTTAAAACAAATATTCTAGGCATGGATGTTTGATCATGTCCAATCATGGTAGAAAATTATTATCAGTACTGATAACAAATTTCTACCTGTTTACTTTGATTTTTTTTTTTGGTAACCAGGGAGCAATGGGCAAGAGGCTCATCTGATGTAAAGTGATCATCGCTGCCCTGCTGTATTACTATTATATTAGGTCTTTTATATATGTCAGCTTTGAGCTGATGTCAAAATTGAATCTTTGCTATTTTTTACTCACATATGGGACTTAGGTTCATGGCTGAAGTATTGGATCCTGTACTAGATAAATAATTGCGAGAGTTAGGTAAGAGCGTTGATGGCTGTTTTAAACACAATATGTTTTCTAAAAACAATGCGTAACATAATGAGGAAAAACGAATTATCATTATTCCAGTATAATGAACTTCATGTTTAATTTTTTGCTTGTATTGATTCTTTTTTCCAGAATGTCAAGCCAGCAACAGCTATCAAATTTAATATTAGCAATGTTTTGGCTTCATATGCATTCATCATGAGGTATTTCAACGGAGAGGTTGAACCAGTTGAAGCTGTAACACACCTGTTGGACATCTGCACAAATCTTAGCACTAATACAAATTTTAATGACTTACCTACTGCTGTAGAATCAGTTGCACAGAGATGTCTTCAGGTATTATGAAAATAAAATTTAATTAAATGATCTCCTACCTTCTGGTTCATTTTTTTGGTTTCTACATTATGTATGCCATTAGCCCACAGTAATAAACAGTCTTGTTATGTGTCACGTTTTAAAACTATGTAGTAAACTAAAACTAAAAACGATTTTATCTTATTTAGTTTGGAATAAAAAATACTAAGTGATTTACAGAACTGTAAAAAAATGAAGGGAGGTTATATTAACTATTATCAACATTCATGCTATCAAATACTAAATGTTTCGAAATTATAACTCTAACATTGGTTGAAACTAAAAATAAATATTAACTCTTTTTAACAAATTGGAAAATATTAGTCATATGTCTTTTATTTTTCAGAGCGAACTTATAGAAACAGATGAAGTCAGTCTTGATGTGATGAGACATGACATGTTGTCAATATTAAATGGACCAAGTTTTGAGAAAAAATCCTTTTATTGTAGAGCTGCACTCTCTGACCTTATGGAATTGTTCATTCAGGCCAAATCAATATTAAAAACAACAAGAACTAAAGAACAAAAGGAGTCTGTACAAAGCAAAGAAAAGGGTGCATTTTCTAAGAAATTTCCAGAACACACTAAAGACTACTTACCAAAATTAGATGAAAGCAAAATCAAAAGAAGTATTAAGAAGATTGAATTCTATTTATCTTATATTGAAGACTGTGATATTAACATTTAAATTTGTATGATTATGATAATTGCATAAATAAAAATTATAATTTTCTTTAACCGCATGCTTTATTTCAACAAAGATATAAGAGGAATGTCTTAATACATTAAATTAAAAATTACAACATTGAAAACACCAAATCAAAAAGTATTGCCCGTAATTAACATACATAATATAAAGAAATTAGCGAACATATATTTAATACATAAAATATGTAAGGCATTTCAATGCAGGCAGTTTTTATAATTAATTTGACACAAGTAATCATTCAAAACTAAAACTAATGATACATTTCTAGAATAATTATTGATAATTTTTTTTAAATATGCTTATGTATGTCATTATGTCATTTATCTGTGCTATTACAATTCAAAAGATAATAAAAGAAGGTTGGTTTGTTGAGCCAATGCTAAAACTTAATAGTGAGGTAAATGTAGATTCCCTTGGCTTGCATCTTTATTTTTATTATTTTAGGTAACAATTTTACTGTATTAACTACTTATATACCTAAAGCAATTTCCCTACCAGCTCCTAATTTAATACATTGCTTATATATAAGTACCATTCACTACATCAACCATTTGGTTAAAAATACCACTACTTGTAACACCATGGACTGTCAGTGAAGCCAACCTAATAATGTATAATTTTGGGTTCCTAAACTTAAACCAAAGTCCAAACTATAATTTAAAATACATTCCCTAATATTGTCCAGAACAAAAATCTGACATCATATTACTTTTTATACATACATTGGAAAATGTTTGATCTCTCAATACTGTGTTTTCATATCGCTACGGCAGGTTTGATTGATTTACTTTAAAATAGAATTTGCTGCTTTTCAATAAACATACAAAATTAATTTTTTATAAAATAAATCAAAACTTTATTTTTATTCCAGTTTTATATCTATATAAATATATATGTATATATATATATATATATATATATATATATATATATATATATATATATATATATATTATTCCAAGGGTTACTGCAATAAAACAACTTAATAAACTCAATGGGCCAAATACTGGATAGTACACGTTATAGTATAGTAATATTCGTTGCAAGCCTACTAATTCTACAGACTGTATTATGACAATATGTGTACAAACAATGTATTGGGGTAACCATATTAAGGTACACATATTAGGATGACCAATTCCAAGATCTGAGCCCCAATAAAGAAAATAATTAAAGAGAACTAAGACAATCTAAAGGTTAAGAAAAAAGAAAGGCTTCAAAGTGTCAATTATTCTATAGAATGGGAGAAACGTTCATTATATATATTTACTTTTCTTTGACTTTACTTCAAGATTTACAGATAAGTTTTCCAAGAACAAAAAATTCGATATAAACCATAGTAATTGATAATAATACTGTTTTCCTATTCAATTTTCACGAATCTGTCTACTGATTTCGATTGTTACTTTGAACATCCGCATTTTTGTGCGTTTGAAAATATTTTTCTTAATGATTGTATTTCATGCTGCGTGTAAATTGAAATTAATTAACAAACGATAATAAAGGAAAAACACTAATATAATTACATACCACGCAAAGAGAACCTAGATTTTCTAACACAGATTTTTTAAACGAAGAAATCTAAAATGAAAAGATATTACTGATGTACTGTAGTGTTTTTAATAGTACAAGACAATCAGCAAAATAGACAACCATGAAACCATAACCCATGATTCGTTGTACGGCAACTTTCCATAAACAAGCATCATCAATGAAATAGTGGTGTTTCTAATTAACATTAAAATATATCTGATATCTAGTGGAGTGACATTGTAGTATGAATGCTATTTATTATACTGTTTTTTCATAAGCGTGACTGCAATGTCATAGAATTTGTAGAGTTAATGTAAACGTCTATACAAATCAAGTCCTTAAACAAGCTTAAGAAAATAATTTAAATACCGATAAATTTCTTACAACTTTCCATGAACACGAACAACGGTAAACATCAATTTTCGATATGACTTTTTGGTTAACACCAATAAGGCTTATGTCGATGTGTTATTTATTGCAAAGATTTTATTACTAAATTGACATACGGATGAAACACGACGACAAACAGAATTTATTATTATTCAATATAATTAGATAACGTTCCAAATTACCGAGAAATAAGTAGTATACAAAGTCCGTATGTCTTAATTGTAAAAGTTGAGAAAAATGTCACACATGCATACAGAGAAAACATCTAAAGTTTATTAAAAAGGAAGGAAATGTTAATAATAATTTTAAGTGTTCAATAGGAAGAAATGAAATTTATAAGAAAATTTCGAAACTGTTTTTTTCGTTAAACGTTTTATCATCATTATTTTTAATGCGAAAAGTTGCCAAACGAGCAGACGGTTCACCTGATGGTGAGTGAATACTGCCGCCCATGGACATCTGCTATACCCGAGGGTTACAGGTTTGACAACCTTTTGAAAATTGGACTCCGGCTACCTCACTCACCAGACGAAACGCGAAAGTATTTGTTATACTTCCACTTTACGCCGGTCTTCTGTGAGGTCGTGGTACTTACCCGGACGGGCCTGCCCGTTCGTGCAACAGCCGAGGCTGCTGCGTGGCCCTACCACCGAAGATCATGATTTATTTAATATGACTAGCACTGGTTCTGACACTGACACTGTATTACGAGATAATTTCGAAGTGATAATCTTGATCTGATTTTACAGATAAAAATTATTATAATAACAATAGTATATAATAACATCATGACACTCATATCCTCACCATATTACAACAGTTTTATTTAAAAAATGTGAACAGAATTTCAATTATTACTACTGCAATTATTAAGGATTATTGTAATTAGGTACGTGTAATTATGGAGGTTTATTTATTAATGCCTTAAGGTGAAACAGTCAAGGTCCATTTTGGCATGATGACCATAGGAACTTTTAACTCTATCAGTAATTTTAAGGGTGCATTTTCGTGTGCTGTACCAAATTGTTCACATTTTATCCGAACCATTTTCGTACGACGTACCAAATTGTTCACATTTTATCCGAACCATTTTCGTACGGCGTACCAAATTGAGCACATTTTATCCGAACTATTTTCGTTCGGCATGCCAAATTGTGCACATTTTATCCGAACTATTTTCGTTCGGCATGCCAAACTATGGAATATGCGCAGCTCGTTCAGGGTGAAGTGTATGTGTTGGCGTGTGTACGGTGCAGTGTTAGTACGGTATCTGGTTCTGGTAGTACTGTATCATGTCGTAGGTCCTCGTGCGGAAGTTGAGGAAGGAGTTGCGTATCACGGAGAGCATGTAAGCGGCGGCCTCCTTCTCCGTGGAGTTGGGCGCGAAGCGGGATCGAAGCAGCCGGATCGTCTGGCCCCGGAAGCAAGGTAATCCCGTGTCGAGCATCAGCGAGACCATCGAGATTATCGCCTCTTGGTACGGTCTGAAAATTGAGACATTCGATATTATCTTTAACCGACTTCAAAAATTGATTGGTATTTTGAGCGAGACAATCGAGATTGTCGCCTTTTGGTACGGTTTGGAAATTGAGAAAATTTGGTTTTTTAAGCGAGATAATCAAAATTATCGCCTCTTGCTATGGTCTGAAAATTGAAACATGCAATATGGCAAAAATCGACAATCGGGGCCCGAGAATAGTGACGCTATCGACTTTAATTTTACCATCGGTACGAAGTGGGAGAGGTGATTGACAATCTTAAATATTCTCTTATTATCTATTATTTATTTTCTTATCTCTATTATTATATCTTTCAATTAAGTATTATTTAATATATAATAAAGTTGAAACTTTAGAATGTTGTTAATACTGGCACTTTAGCTGTTGTTCGAACAATGGTCACTCGAACAGTTACAGAACTGATAAAGTTGTTTTTTCATTGACAAGATAATTTTTAATTCGTTGATCCAATATTATATCAAATTACCAACCAAATAATAATTTATTTTTATAAACAAAACGTAACACTAGTAGCATGAAGTATTTAGCGGTTAAACTCGCAGGCAATTGAGCATTTATCGCTTCGCGTTAAAGTTTAGTGTTTGACGAAGAGATAAATGGGTACCGAAGCACTACTATGCAGGCAACCAAGGCAGTGATTGTTGCGTGTTAGAGTCCACAATCGCCCGACGAAGAGACAACTGGTCACCGAAACACACATCGCAGGCAATTCCGACACTTATCGCAACGCGTTAGAGTTCACAATCGCCTGACAAATGAATAAATGGGTACCGAACCATTATGTTGCACGCAATTCCGAGACTTATACATACGCGTTAAAGCCCAAAATCGCCTGACGAACAGATAACTGGCCACCGAAGCGCATTCCTCCAAGCGCAGGCAATTTTAACACTTATCGGGCCGCGTTAGGGTCCACAATCACCTGACGGCCAGGAACGCCTGCACGCACAGCTCGCAGAACCAGCGGAAGGGCGGCGCCTCCATCTTGCCGCCCATCACCATCACCATCTCGTCGGTGAGCTTAATGTCCGGCTCGAAGCCCAGGTTGCCGCCGGGCGAGGACTCGAACATGAAACCGAAGTCTGCGGGAGACGGCACAGACCAAGTTTAGCTTAGTGTTACAGCTTCTAATACACGCTATCACATGCTTTTACCACGGCATATAGAATGTGTCGAAAACGAGAGACTAGTACGTATAATATATAATAGTACACAATACATGTAATGACTAGTCAATCATGTCAATGTTGGTAGAGACCTCTTTTTAGGGTTCAGTACCATTGTAATTTTATTTTGAATCTTAATTTTGTTTTTCATATTTTGTGTACAATAAAGAATGAATGAATTAATGTAGAAGTGATGGGTACAATGGGAGGCTATTACTAAAAGTCATTTCTTCCAGGCAACCATTGGATGGACTAAAGGGAAATTAATTTGGGAGTAAATGTGTGGTTTGGTCATTTTAATGAAGGAAATAAATAAATACTAAACTACAATCAAAATAAATAACACATATAAATATGAATGATAAGAATGAAAAAGAAAGATAGAAATCTTGCCTATGTGGATGATGTGCCCGTCGGTGTCCAGCATAATGTTGCCGTTGTGCCTGTCCTTGATCTGCAGCAGGAAACCGATCACGCTGTAAGCGGCCATAGAGGTCACGAAGCATCGTCTCGCCGCCTGCAACGAAAACAGAGATTTGTTTTCTACCTTATAACTCTAAACGAGTAACTCTTGTATATTTATATTTTTCGCCGAACATGGGCGTATCCAGGGGGGAGGGGTGTTCGAAATATTAAAAATATTATATTACTATTCAGAGCCGTGATAGCTCAGCGTCCGGGCGCTCGCCTTTAATTCAATATAGGCGCTCGAGCAACCTGAGTTCGATCCCCGGTTCGAACCAATGAAGTTTTTAACTTTAAGTGCTGACTTATCACGTGCTCCGCGGTGAAGGAAAACATCGTGAGGAAACCTGCACATTTCCGAAATTCCGAAATAATGACAAAAACTACTCCCAGGTTTGACTGGAAGAGAATGCTCATTAGCATTAAGTTTGCCTTTTGTTTAGCCTTAAGTTGAGGTGTAAACAATAAATTTTTAAATAAATAAATAAATATAAGCGAAGACCAACCTGAAACTCCCTCGTCGTCTCGTCGCCATACTTCTTGATGAAATACTCGTACATGCCGATGTCTGTCTGTCTGCCGAGCTGGTCTCGCGACTTGGCGTTTGGCACGCACTCTATCACGCCACACTGTTGCATTAAAGGCATTTTTAGATTTTTAAATTGGCGATTATTCAAGGATTTTTGTGGACAAATTGTGGAAGAATATTTCTGGTTCGCCGGGAATCGAACCTGCGGATTTCAGGTGACGCGCCACTGAGATGCCAACTGATCTAAGCGGCCGAGGATTTTTTTTTTTTAAGTTTATTAAGTCTGCTTAACTGAATACATACACAATAGCATGATTACAAAAGAAATATACACAGAAGA